AGCAGTAGTTTTGCGGTGGACAGAATGGCACTCCCTCAGAATGGCTTCGACGACTTCCGACAAGAAGACACGGCCTCGATCGCTGAGAAGCTCTTGGGGTGGTCCGTGGCGCAGTATAAATCGATGCAGCAGGAAGGACGCAACATCACGCGCAGTAGCCGCAGGGATAGCGGCGGTTTCGGCGTATCGCGTTAAATGATCTACGGCGACGATGGCCCAGCGGTTACCAGCCGACGTCAGAGGAAGTGGTCCATACAAATCGATACCTATGCGCCCAAACGGACGCTCAGGGCAAGGTAACGGTTGCAGACTGGCTGGCGACATGTGTGCTGACGGTTTGTGGCGTTGGCAAGCGAGGCAGGAGCGAACGAACTGCTGCACATAGCGGTACATCCCGCGCCAGAAGTAGCGTTGTCGAATACGACGGTAGGTTTTGAATACCCCAGAGTGCGCGCATTGCGGATCAGAATGGAAGGATTCACATATCTCTGACCGCAGACTGCGGGGTATCACGAGTAACCACTGCCGGCCATCGGCGTCGTAATTGCGTCGGTGTAGAAGGCCGTCACGGATGGCGAAATGGCGAGCTTGACGACGCAAGGCACGCGTGGATGGCGTTGCGGATGGATCAGAGAGCAAGTCGATGAGCGGGCCGATCGAATTATCCTTTCGCTGTTCGGTAGCGATGATGTCAACATCAATGGCAGAAACAGCAGCCGAGGATACTGAGCAGAGCACATCACCTTCAGGCAGAGGGGAGCGCGAGAGGGCGTCGGCGTCAGCATGCTGGCGTCCGTTGCGGTACAGCACGCGGATGTCATAGTCTTGTAAGCGAAGAGCCCAGCGGGCGAGACGGCCTGAGGGATCCTTCAATCATGAAAGGCAGCATAGTGCATGATGGTCGGTGACGACATCGAATGGGCGACCATACAAATAAGGTCGAAACTTTGTAAGGGCCCAGACGATCGCCAGGCACTCTTTCTCCGTGACGGTGTAGTTTGTCTCAGCTCTCGTGAGCGTACGGCTTGCATATGCTACGACATATTCGGAGAATCCGGGTTTGCGCTGCGCCAGGACAGCGCCAAGGCCTACACCACTGGCGTCTGTGTGCACCTCCGTCGGGGCCGTAGGGTCGTAGTGGCGTAGAATGGGAGGAGACGTCAGCAAATGGCGGAGCTTCGCGAACGCGTCGTCGCACTCAGACGACCACGAATTGAGGGGCCCGTTACTTCCAAGGAGCTTCGTCAGCGGTGATATAATCGTAGCAAAGTTTCGTATGAAGCGTCGGAAGTATGAGCACAGGCCCACGAAACTACGCAGTTCTTTGACGGACGCAGGTTTGGGGAATTCAGCCACGGCCCGAAGCTTGGCTGGGTCAGGAAGAATGCCATCCTTAGACACGACGTACCCTAGGATGGCGAGTTGCCGTGCTGCAAAGCGGCACTTCTTCAGATTTAGTTGCAAGCCGGCATTGCTCACACGTGCGAAAACTTCTTTCAGACGTTGGAGATGCGTGGAGAAATCTGGAGCGAACACAACAACGTCATCGAGGTAACACAAGCACGTGTGCCATTTCAAGTTGCGCAGAACGGTGTCCATCATGCGCTCAAAGGTCGCAGGTGCATTACATAGACCAAACGGCATGACGTTGAATTCGTACAAGCCGTCGGGTGTGATGAACGCAGTCTTCGGTCGAGCGTCATCAGCCATGGGTACTTGCCAGTACCCGGAGCGCAGATCGAGAGAAGAAAAAAAATTCGGCTCCGTGAAGGCTGTCAATTGCGTCATCGATGCGCGGCAGTGGGTAAACATCCTTGCGAGTGATCTTATTGAGCCGTCTGTAGTCCACACAGAACCGCACAGAACCATCTTTCTTCGCGACAAGAACAACAGGAGACGCCCATGGACTGTCCGAGGGCCGAATAACGTCGCGTCTGAGCATATCATCAACCTGCTCGTTAATTTCCCGACGTTCAGCAGGCGACACGCGGTAGGGACGTTGCCGTAATGGTGGATGGGCACCAGTGTTGATACGATGTGTAACAGCGGACGTGCGACCGAGAGAACTTCGCCCGACATCGAAAGAAGAATGATATTCTCGCAGCAGGTCCAGAAGCTGGGAACGCTGTACCGACGTAAGATTGTCATCAATGTAAGGGCCAAATACATCAGGAGATGATGAATCATAAGTGGAAACAGCGCTGACGGTACACGAACTGGGACAACGCGAGTCATCAGGTACGTCCAGGACTTGTGCGTTATCCACTGGTTCCACTCTGCCGAGACATTCCCCTCGAACCAAGGTAACAGTGTACGGGGATGGGTTGGTCACAAAAATAGCGGCGTTGCTCTGGGTGATTTGCACGGTCGCGAAAGGTACTAGCAACCCTTTCCTTCGGCAAGCACGGTCGGATGGCGAAACGAGTGCAATTGTGTCGGAGAGTCCAGCGCAGTAGACAGATACACCCATTGCCGAACTTGGAGGCACTATGGTATCGTCTTTCACGAGAATCTTACTCAGTGTCGAGGGACTGTCTTCCGGCGTCAAATGCGAGAAGGGTGAGAGTTCAATTTCGGCAGCGGCACAATGGGTGACGGCGTCGTTGCGGGAGAGAAAATCCCACCCCAGGATGACGTCATGAGAGCATGCAGGAATGATGATGAATTGGCCGACATAGAGAACGTCCTGAACGACAACGCGAGCTGTGCACTCTGCTGAAGGATGGATACGATGTGAACCGGCAGTACGAAGGGACAACCCAGAAATTGGCGTCGTCACTTTTCGAAGCAAGCGGCAGAAGTTTTCGTCCATAACGGATACTGCAGCTCCAGTGTCAATAAGAGCAGATGCATGAACACCGTCCACAAGCACGTCTATGACATTACATGGGCGGCTCTGAGGGCTTTCACATCGCAATAGCATCGCAGTCCTTGCCTCGGGGACTGCGACGACTAGTTTTCCCGCTCATGATTAGCCGAACTTGGCCTCATGGGGGACAGGGAACGACGTCGTGGAGACGGCGACCTTCGAGGAGATGGACCTGGGCGAGACGGCGGTGGCATAGACGGTGGTTCGTCGTGATAGGGACGGCTGAGGTGGCCAGCAATAGGCGAAGAAATTGGAGCCGGCTGTACACGATGGCAATAACGGGCTACGTGACCGGCGTAACCGCAGGCAAAGCAGATGGGCCGGTTGTCGGGTGTGCGCCATCGGTTCGCTGGGGTAGGTCTTGTCCATGACGTAAGAGCCGATGGACGGAACTGTGGCTGGAAAGGCTGCAGGGGGTGCTGGAGCTGAGTCTGCGAGGTCACGTCAACATACGTAGCCGGCATAGCCGCTGTAAAGGATGGAGGTCGTGCGGCAGCTTCGGCGTAAGTCAGTGGGGCGGGCGGTTGAACGACTGGAGGCGGCCTGGCGACCACTTGGGCGTAACTTGGGGGCGCAGGGGCTGGAAGCTGTTGTGGTTGGTACGCCGGCATGACCTCCGCTATTTCCTGCTCAATTGCTCGGCGGATGGGTGGAAGAATGGTAGTGGCCGATTGTTGAGCAGCCGGTGGGTGGGCAAAGGGCAGGAGAGAGAACTGCCGCGCGATTTCCTCACGTATGAAGGACTTGAGGTCTGCCAGCAGTGCCACCTGATCACAGCTCGCCTCCAAGCCTGCAAGCCCTGCATCTCGTGGTGTAGAGCGACGGGTCATCGAACGCTGCCGGCGGAGCTCCTCGTAGCTCTGGCACAGCGTGATGACCTCAGCTACTGTGCCTGGGTTTTTGGCAAGCAGCATCGTGAAGGCATCATCGTCAATGCCCTTCATGACGTTCCGGATCTTGTCTGATTCGGACATGCTGTCGTTGGATTTTTTGCAAAGGTCCAGGACATCTTCTATGTAACTGGTGAATGATTCACCGGCCTGCTGAGCGCGTTCGCGTAAGCGCTGCTCGGCTTGCAGCTTACGAACGGCAGGGCGGCCAAAAACGTTGGTAATAGCGGTCTTGAAATTGGACCAGGTTGCGAAATCGGACGCGTGGTTGTTGTACCACAAGCTTGCAACGCCCGCAAGGTAGAACACCAAGTTTGTCAACTTGCCGTCCTCGTCCCATTTGTTGGGGACGCTCACGCGCTCGTAGATAGCGAGCCAGTCCTCCACGTCAGTGCCATCGGCGCCCGTGAAGATGGGTGGATCTCGGATCCTGGGGACACCGGCACAAGGGGGTGGCATGGGAGGAGGCGTTTGCTGCGAGGCGTCGTGGGACATTGTAGATTGCAGGGTACGTGAACGCAGTTCCCAGGGCATCAAAGGGGTCGTAGCACTCTCCACCAATTTGTTATGGCGTTTATTAGCGGGCAGGCAGCGAGTATACACAATGGCGACAGTAACGGCCAAGCACGGACTCTCAGCGCGAGCGGCGTTCTTCTTGGGTAGCCCCACTAGAAGGTACTCAAGAGTTCGACCCATTTCAGAGTTCGGAGGCTTCGCTACAATATATATATATATATATATATATATATATATATATATATATATATATATATATTATATATATATATATATATATATATATATATATATATATATATATTTATATATATATATATATATATATATATATATATATATGGTGGGGTGATATTCAATGGATCCGGTGGAAAATGCAGTATAAAAAGAGGTCGACAAACGTGCGAAAAAACACTAGTTTTACTAACGTTTCGGCAGGTGGGCCTGCCTTCGTCGGAGTGAATGACGAAGGCAGGCCCACCTGCCGAAACGTTATATATATATATAAATATATATATATATATATATATATATATATATATATATATATATATATGTGTGTGTGTGTGTGTGTGTGTGTGTGTGTTTGTGGTGTGTGTGTGTGGTTATGTATGGCCATCTATCTGAAGATGCCCACCTACACTTTATCTGTCGATGTACAGCAGTCATTACACTGTGTCGCTTGCATAGCTCAATTATTGCTCCCCGCGGTTGCATGCACACAGGAGACTTGTCCGTCACCATCCGTCCACGCCTGGTTCGTGCCGAGGCCGGTGACTCGGTGTCCTTCCAGTGCAACGCGAGCAGCAGCGAAGCGTCGCTCGAGTGGCGCCTAAACGGGTCGCCGCTTCCACTGGGATTCCAGCGGCTCGAGCGAGGGTTCGTGCGAATCGCTGCTGTGGCCCGGCACCAGGGTGGCATGCTGCAGTGCTTCGCTACTTCCAGGGATGGACGCAGGGCTGCGCAAGCTACGACAGAGCTTGTTGTGGGAGGTACGTATAACCACCAATTTTAGAGGCGAAGCTTTTCATGGCGTAACTTGTGCGTTCTCGTTGTAGTGCGTAATCACCGGTGGCACATACCCGGAAAAGTGGTCCTTGGAATGTCCGCTGGATGGCGGCACTTGTATATGATTATTACATGATGAAAAGATATGAGGTGGCTATACTTGAAGCGTTCACTAGATAGACGGGCGAACGGTCGAATGAACGGACATACAGATCAACGGACGGACTGACGAACGGAGAGACAGGAAGAGAGGCAGACGCACGAACGGACAGACAGACATGCGAACGGACAGACGGAAGATTGGACGTGTGGACGGACGTACGGACGAACGAATGCACCGGTGGTCACACAGATGGATGGACACACGGACAGACGCACGGACGGACTGACGAACGCTTCGCCCCACCAATCATCATTCAATCCGTGGATATGCTGTGATTTTTTTTAATTCATCTTGGCGGCGTTTTATCGCTACAAAAATGTTTTAAAGTAGTTTTGTTTAACGATTGTAACCTTACTGCGCCTTCCTTAGGACCCATAGAGTTTCTCACAATCATACCTAGAGGGAAATCTGGCGCTAGTGAACTGCTGGATGCAAGATCATGCCGCGATACGTGAGCTTCGAACTTCACTCGCAATTGTAAACCTCCAAGATTCGTCTAGCTTCACGTTAAAATAATTGATTTCTTACTAAAGGAGCATGTAATAAGCTATTTATTTTTGTCATTGCACAGTAACGTGTTGTATTTAACACTACAACCTTCTACGTTGATGTGAAATTTTATGAAGCGTAAGAAGTAACCAGCGGCCGCTAAACTTGGCAGGCTGAGGACAAAGCGAGCGTTCTTCCTGTCACGCTTATGTCGTCTGTTTCTTTCCTTTGCCGTTTGGTGGTACCGTCAAGGTGAGTGGACTTCTATTTTAGAATATAATACACGTGAATGAGATCCACTTTCAAGCGTTTTGTTTTAGAGAAGCTTTATTTACGCAGTCGTATTCGCTTTTGAGCCGAAGCCTCGCTCAACACCAGCCAACACAAGCCTCGCAGACACATATACCGTCATTCCCAGTGCTCCAACATCGTCCCTTAAAAAATTCGCATAGACAGTGGTGCCACACTTCCCTATTGGTATAAGGGAAAAACTCTATGTTAGACCCAAATCAAGTTTGTGGACTGATTGACTGACTCACTGACTGTGCCTTTCATACTTCGTGAAAGCTTTATGACCACCAGTTTCGCTTCAAAAATTAGAACGAATGTTGCCTGATGAGTAGGGGGAATGGTTTTGCAGCCAATCAGATGCACTACAAGAAAATAAAGGTTGCCGTTGTGCTACCCTTCACCTTTATATGTGTGCAGTGCAACTGGAATTATTGTGTGTAATTGAGAAGTGTAAGGGGTTTGTAAAGTTCTATACATTAATATGTATCAATTCTTAACGATGCAGCACATAATATTACGCAATAATGACGAAGGCATCTTTGTCGTCTTTGTACCAAGCGTATAACGTACTTCCATATCTAATGTACTAATTACCACCAGCTTTGACTTTCACTAGAGTTCCCCTTTAATTAAATTTGCAATATGGCCTTGTAAGGGGTCCGTTAAAAACTCAAGCCTATCACAGAAACAATGGTAGGTTTCGCAAGTTGCATTTTAGTCATTGCTCGATTCACATTGCATATTTTCGCAGAGCGGGCACCACGCATGGAGCGAACGTACGGCACCTCAGGAAGCCTAAGCCCCAAGTCTCCCGCGAGCCTAGGGTGCCGGGCATCGGGCGACCCGGCACCCTCGATCACGTGGACGTTGGACGGTGCGTGGCCCGTGTCCGGTAGCGGTCCTCGTTTGCGTCTATGGTCAACCAGCGACTCGGTGACGGGCGATGCGGTCAGCTTCCTCAACTGGACGTCGGTGGAGCCATCAGACTCGGGGAATTACCAGTGTGTGGCGAGCAATGCTGCGGGACGAGTGGTGCATGACTTCAGGCTTGACGTGCGCGGTCCGCTCTTCACTCGGCCGGCGTACAACATCACCGCGCTGGACGGACACCGCGCAGTGCTGCGGTGCCCATTCGGCGGATACCCGTACGACAAGATCACTTGGTTCAAAGGTGTGGTCACTACAGCGATGTTCATTTTGCTCAGTAAACAAAAGCAATTGTACCACACATTAATCTCCCTTGTTTTATTCGTGTTTATAGTGTGCCACAACAACTAGATTTTTACTGAAAGTTCACAGAAGTATGACGGGCGTGTTGTAAATGTTACCATAGTATTGCGTTCACTGCTTTTTTTCTCTTTAAAAGTTCCGGCGCCAATATCATGAAAAGTGCTTCTGTACTAAAAGTATGGTCGTCCTAGATAAGCGAAAAAAATTCGGCAGATCCCACGTACCTGAGAATCGACGTTATGCGAAGCATGCGGAGGGAAGGTGACCGTGTTGCAATTTTTTTATTGGGCGACATGTCAGGAAATGACGCCTAATATATGTTCAAGTGTTGCACGCACAGACATTGGTTGAAGAGTTGTAGATGCTTATATAACCAGTTGTTTGCACTTGCGCGACGATGCCAACTGGAACATGCGTATTAGCAACACCGGCAGCTGACATGAAGCGCTGATGCTCGCGAGGATGCTGGCCCTGGACACTGATACATAAATCAACTTCAGCGCATGGCAACTAACCACAATTAACGTTAACCCGACGTGACGGCTGTATCAAAGGAGTACATATGTATGATTATAAAATTGGGTAGGCAGCACTGCAACCACTATTGACGTTTCACGAAGATTAGCGTCTATTTGAAAAGAAGTTCAGAAACCTGGCGTAGCTTTGTGGTAAAATGCTTCATTGCCGCGCAGAATGCTTGGGTTCGATTCCAGCTGGGGCCCTGACATTTATTATTTCCATTCGTCGCGTCGACGCTACGAACGTCGGGTATTTCTTAACGCTCACGCGTTAATATTGCCCATGTGTGTTCTCGTCGTTCGTGGTTAGATACTAAGTGTCAATCACCTGTGGCACATACTCGCATACCAGTGGCACATACCCGCCATGAATATGTGCCGCTGTCTGGCGCGAAGTGTTTGACTACGTACGTGACAGGATTGTGGCAATATTCAGGTCTTGACCAGCGCGTCAGATTCGTCAAACCATCTTACCCTCCAATGCTTATTTTTGTTCACGCATATTTAAGGGGATGACCACGGAGCACCCAAACGTAAGCGGTTAGATAGATAGATAGATAGATAGATAGATAGATAGATAGATAGATAGATAGATAGATAGATAGATAGATAGATAGATACGCTCAAAGTCGCTGAAGTTCGCTAAGAAATCCTTCGCATCTTAAAATGCGAAGGGGCGTTAGTGACAATGAGCAGCTGCACGTCTAGTTTTGCTTTGTTCGTCCTTTCGTTCCTTGGTAACACCAAGAAAAGGAAATAAACACGAAAAATACAACACCGACTATCTCAAGCTGAATATCTATTGATAGCGACAAGACGGAGTGTGCACGTTGCGCATATCTTGCATGCTTTTGCCTGTCGTGCGCTGTCTGTACCGCCGTGAAATCTACAAGGCGCATGAGAAGCGAGAGTTCCCACTACGCCTCTTACTTCGCAGACGGCAGTGAACTTCCGGTAAACCAAAGGCAGACCGTGTTCCCCAATGGCACGCTACTGCTGGAGACCCTGACGAAGGCCAAGGATTCTGGAGAGTACAGCTGCTCCGTGGACAGTCCCGCGGGTCCCGCTGTGCAGCAGGCCATCCGCGTCATCGTCAGAAGTAAGACCGGCACTTGTGCCGTGCATGAAGCCTCGCTGCAGTGAACTCGAAGCCTTTGACACGCCTTGTACACATACGTGTGCACCGCTTGTGTAAGCTAGTTGTGCCGAGAAGTGGCTGAGAAATTGCAAGATGCATAACGACATCGATAAATTGAACCTTATGCATAGTAATGTATATTCATTAAATTTGATCTCGCATTTACTCTTGGCGTGTGGTCACTTCGCTGAAGGCACTACCATGTTCGACGAGTTCTTCGACGTGTTCCTTCCTGGAAGCCACGTCGACATTGTGACTTTTCTTTGCTTAAAATGAACGTAACCGAAAACAAAATTAAACCCTATTTGTAGCCTCATATTTGTTTTCTATGTATGCAATAACCGAAGATGAATGATATCAGGATAAATTACGAGACGTAAGCGACAAAAAAGCCAAGGAAAGTATATAGCGTATGTTTGTAGTAATTATGGTGTAAACCTGAGAAAAAAGTAAAGCGGACAAAAAGATAACGTGCGACTGACAGAAACGGAACCTGCGACATTCGAGCAATATATTCAATGCTCTACCAACAAAGCTCGAGCACCAGTCATCCCCCCTGTGTACTTTATGGGGTATATATGTGCATTTAAAGGGTCCGCAAACCACCCTGAGGTCGAAATTCGGTTGTTATGAGGAAATTGTGCACGAGTGTACGACTAACACGAAGCCGTGAGAATTTCTCGAAACGGTGCCGCAATAGCGAAGTTCGACGCGTTTAACTATCGAAACCGCAACGATCCCTCCTTTCGCTCTCTCCTGCGCTACTCTCCGTGGTATCCTCTCCCAAAACCGCTTTGCCCTCTCGCCGAGCGCCCCTTCCATACCCTCCCAATCTCACCTGGCATACATCATCACTGACGTGCTGCTTGAAACATTGTCCACTTCCGGCTTGCGCGACACCGCCTGTCAACTCCGTCTGTTGCTTTGTAGCTGCGTGCTTGTTGTCGAACCGCGGCTGCCTTGCCTGTACGAGTCGTGCCGGTATGATGCCTGTGTTGCCCGCACGCCTTCAAAGGATCACCAACACGATGGACCCACAGGGAGATACACCGTGCCAGATAAGCTCCGCGGCTGATTCGTGAGCACACGCACGCACACTGGAAACAATACGAACAAAGAGCAGCGTGGACTGCGTCTTGCCGACTGACCGGAAATCGTAGGCTCTTGCTCGACCAATCACGGCATATTTGGATCGGCGCGTCAGAGATACCAGAACGACGCCTCATGCGGAGGCACAACAGGCCCGGAAAGACGGAGCGATAGTTTCTTGGAATTTGTGGCTCGCCGGCGGCTCGTAGCGATGCCACGTGTAGAATTGTTGATCGCGACAGCATTCTCCACACGATGCGCGTGCTTACTTGAAACGTTCCAAAAAATATCGGAGGTGGTTTACGAGCCCTTTAAATGTTGGAGTGCTAGCGTCGCTAGTAGCCACGATGACGAGTCTTGTCCGTTAGTTCTCACTAACCTTGTTCTTCACAAAAAAAAAGGGGGGGGGGGCTTTTACAATGTCCGTTTTTTTATTGAAATAGAAAATAAACAAGGAGTTGTTGTCATCGTTACTTTGCGACGGCTACCCCTTTTCACTCGATTGTTACAAATAAAGAAGTTAAAAAAACAAATTAGCATATATACACATACAATCCTACATAGGTCCATACAAGAGTTCTCATGCGGGCAGAACAAACACGTAGTCGCCACGCTCACTTTTAACTACAGTGCGCTCAGTAGTGGTCCCAAGTCTTTGTTTCTTCGAGATAACGTCGCACTCTTTCATCCATTCAGAATAAATAGATATTTAATTTCAATTGAAATCAGGTTAACTGATAACCTTAGTATTTATAAATCTACGTGCTATGGTATTATTTTGCAGCAATAAAATATGTGTCCGTAAGTAATGTTGCGTAAGCTTTGCGCACTTGCGGACAGTTAGTTCTCCATAAATTGCATCTGAAAAGGCTAAGGCATAAGCGTGAAAACTGCGAAGAAAGAGATGTTGAAGTGGTTGATAATGATTAATTTTTGAAACCGATGTAAGAAGAACTTGTTATTCCGCAATCGAAAAGCCACAGCAGCAAAGAACTTAACGTATCTGCAAGTGCTACAGCTAATGAGTCCACAGGTAAGGCACAAGATGGAGTTCATGAATGTGGTACCCACTCCTTTAACCAGCGTTGTCATCGAGAGCATTCATAAAAGGCAAGCCGCGCCACTTAAAGCTTGAAAAAAAAAAAGATCCGTGGCTTTGATGCTTTGAAGAAGCACCACATAAAACTTCAAAAGTTGCCGTAAAGGCTATGCCCATTTTGAGCGAACAAGGAAAATGCGTGTATAATTTTAATTGAATTAAAGGGACTCAAAAGTGAAATACCAATTCATGTCAGAGTGAAATCTCAATGTATGACACTGTCTAAAACGACTATATTATCAACACCGCTGCCCTACTTACCGAGAAATTAAGGTAACACATGCACCACGAGGACATTCGCAAAATGGTCCCGATGACTTCAGACTTTACCCATACAATTAGCCACTCGTAATCGAACTAGCGGCACTAAATAAAGAACCGCCCATGCATCAAGAGACGTAATACTACTTGTTTGTTTCTATTTGATTCATGGAAAACAGAAGCGCCGGACATTACTACGAGGAATGGCGCGAGTGGTTCGAAAATTCTATTTTTTTCCTGGTCAAACTGGACAGGTCGTGCACGCCTATCATCTTGGAGGTCATGGCAGAAAATCGTTCAATGGCCATTGTTGCTGCTGTGCCTCCCACTACTTTCGCTCTGCTGCTACTAGTGTTGGTGGCCGCTCAGTAAAGCTGGGCAACGTTGTGCACGGTGATAGTGACGTGAGATGGCCACTTTCAGGAGGGGGGTTTGAAGTGTGCTAACGCGACGCGGACCATTGAAACGTAATTTTATTTTACAATCAGCAGTTTTTTTTTTTGCACACAAGTACCACTACCAGGTTTCTGGACCGCTATTTCAGCAATCAACATCGACTTAATATTTGCCTTTTGTGTCCCTTTAAAACGCATGAACACCAAGATTGGGCAACAGCAGCGCGCAGTCACAGCCTAATGCACGAACAGATAATGCTTGCTTGCCTGTGCAGTGTCGTACATGTTTATTGCAACAATGAGTGCTTCTTGCAAAGGTGGGTTAAAAGAAAGCTGTTATGACCGTCATCCGCATTGAAGTTCTTTCGGCGTCTGTGAACCCGACGAAAAGTTCTGACGCATTCCAAGCAAGAATGTGCAGTCAAGGCGGGCTGATTTCCTCTCTGTCAAACGTGAACAAAGGTGTCCCAGAACCAGTCCGGCGCTAAGAAAATGCACAAGACAGTAAAAGCCATCGTCACCTCGACTCCACACCAGGCACAAAGGCTTTCCGGGCCAACCAGGAGGCAATCGGGCCATTTTCTAAGTCACCATGCATTTGGAGAGACCTGAACCAGCGTGGTATTTACTGTATGGGCTGAAAGCTAAAACCCAAACCGGTTTCAGCTGCACCTTTCGAGGAGAAGCCAAGTCCCGGAAATTTGCAGTTGTTGGGCAATAACTTCTAGCGAATGACAAGGGATTAGTCAACGACGTCTATTCCCTTTCTTTCCATAGCACCGGCTAAATGGAGTGGCATGTTCGACGATGAGCTGTCAGGCCACTACATTGTTCTACCTGAACGCAGACAGGAGCCGGTCTTTCCAACAACACCTACTTGCCGAGAGAGTTCTTGGAAACCCAGATCATCTAGGATCATCAGACGGGTGCAAAATCTCGGTGGCGTGTGCAAAACGTTGGTGTTGTACGTTAATGACCATATTAGGACATCGTTTTAGACCATGCCCTCTCCACGTGCTTTGTGTTGCGTCTTGCCTCGCCTTCATGGGTGGAGCACCTAGACCATCGATCGCCGTATTGGCTGAAGCTGCGGATAATGCGACCAAGGTTTGCCAACGCAGCGCTATTTAAGACCTTTTGTGCATTTTTAGTTATAATAACTCTTGATCCCCTCCTTTCGACTTCTCAGTTACTTACTGTGTAAATGAATATGTATCGTCCTTACGAGTGCCTCATCTGACTTATTGGACGATGTGTCCTAGGCCGGGGGCCCTCTACCAAAATGAGACCCGCGGACCCGGAGTCGCAACAAAGTGTTCTGCGCTATTACCGGCGCATTGATTTCAGCTAACGCAATGCTAGTTTACGTTCCATGTGCCATACGTTGTAAAATTTGCCCGGTAACTATAGATACCTACGTCTGCATAACGTACCAGTCCAATATGGTCGATTAACTAACTGGCGAAGCAGATACTATCTTGCACTGCCATCGAGTTCATTCCACTTACCGTATGTCCCTTGTTATTTAAAACGAAACGATCGGCTTGCCCAAGCTGTTTCTGTAGTGGTGAGGTCGGACATGTACTCTCTGTTTCTGACGTGGTACCGCGAAGCCTTACAAACAACAAGAGTACACAGAAGAAAAAAAGTAAGCCACCCGTGAGCTTCCCGGCCATAATGTTTCCCTGTTGGGCGGGGACGTGATCAAGAAAGGAGTTGTACTTCTGTTGATTGCCTCCCTCGAAGCAAGCGAGTCGATGAGCGTTTGGCGAAATGGCGGTGTTAACGATCCACGAGATGCTCAGGCGGACAAGCTGCCGGCCTGCGGCGCTGTATTATCACTGTTACTCTATTGCGACATCACCACAACCATAGCATCTATCCTGTGTTTTTCCCGCTGTATCGGTTGATTACACCCACTCTGACAACATTGTAACAGCTTGTGTGTACACTTATATGATGATATGTGTGGTTTAACGTCCCAAAACTACCATATGATTATGAGAGACACCGTAGTGAGGGCTCCGGAAATTTCGACCACCTGGGATTCTTTAACGTGCACCGAAATCTGGGCACACGGGCCTACAACATGTGTGTGCACTCATAACAGCCAAACTTGGTGCGCTATGTTTACTCATTTGAGAAGTCACAACGGACCATTTTTAACAAGTTTAGAACATGGACACGCATATGCCAAGCTGATAACAATATGACATATGCGAGAGTATAATAACTGTTAGGGTTTAATATCCCTAAACTACTACATGACTATGAGAGACACCGTACTGGAGTGCTACAAAAATTTTGACCTCTTGGGGTTCTTTAAAGTGCACCTCGATGTAAGTACACGGGCCTTAAGCATTTCAGTCTCCGTCTAAAATGGGACCTGCGCTGCCGGTATAAGATCACACGACCTGCGCGAGGTTATAAAAGTACTACGTGAGAGTAAGAAGTTGGCCCGAATCTACATGTTACACTGTATATGGCGAAAAACGATAGTCTTGCGTCTGAAGAGAGCGAACAAAAAGTTAATTTGATGTTCTCCGCAAGAAAATCGGTGAATGGTATTCTGAAGGCGCTGCTTTAGCGTGCCTCGAGTGTGTAACGGAGGCGAACAAGCGCATCTAGGCATCTTAGGCACGAGCGCCATCTGGCAGTTATCTTCCAAAACGAAGGCGTGCGCGACCGCGGAGAAAGTTGCACGCCAGTCACGGAGGTGATAAGGTGTAGAATGCAAAGCGATGGGCAGGTGCCACCACCATGCCGTAGTAGCAAAGCGTTGGAAACACCTTCTTGAGCATCGTGTTCCACTGTCAGCGCAGCGTGTTAAACGCTAAAGTCCTTCGAGTTACTTGTGTGTGCCTGTTCTAGTATAAAGGCAGACATACAAAACATAGACATGTAGTTATGGCGCCTCAGATATGCGCAATATTTGCTTTTTTAATTGACAATCGCACAACGATGAACGCTAAACCTTGAGCAATGTTGGTGGGCCCTGCGGATGGGGTTGGCTGTTTGATGCCGTTTGAGGTATCGTTAGGGCAGACAAACAGACAAATCTACAGACAGACCAAACATTTTTCGTCGAAGGTCCCCAAGAAAGACTATGGTCTTTAAAAGCGTGGCGTTTGGCCCTGCCAAATTGACACACAGGGCCAAACTGACACATACCTGTTGATGGGTGTGGTATCCGTGCTCTCAGTCTGCGCCACCATAGAGCTAGAGTCTTACTGCGGCTAATGCCATCGAACCATGTGATTATCATTTGCAAGTCTCGCCTGGTACTCGGAAAACACGCAGTGCGATAGCGCCAGCCAGAGCAAGATTTTATCGCAACGGCAACGCCGACTGAAAGCAGAGATTCGCCTAGCGACGCTCAAGGCATGTCGTGGTTTGTGGAAAGTGTGCGGAAAGCCACTCTAAGCGCTTCTTTTCGTTGTCATAGTACGCGTGAAATATATGTACTAAACCTCGCATTATCAGAAATACCTCGACTAGAAGTTAGCTTCAATATGGTCAATGATTGAGCTAATTGGCTCGACATGTTGCTTAGGGGATCACGGATTTCGTTAGGAGCATCCTTGCTGTCGTGTGTGTATGTGTTTTTTTTTGCTAACCAAATGCGCGCTGCCCTAAGCAAGAAGTTCGGCCCTCGCTCGAGCGAGTTGAGCAAAGAGACGCCGCTCAACCGAACACGCTGCCTGGTTTCTCAAAGAATTTCTGCCAATTATCACTCATCCGCAATGACAACTCCACCCGAGGAGCATCGCTGAAATCGACTTTCCGGAGTCGAGGTAGTGCGATGAGTGGAGATAGGTTCTTGAATGGGAAGGCGAAAGAGGGGGCTTCTCTGTGGTGCCCTTTATTCTAGCGCAGTAAACTCAGTTCTATGTGCCGCCTGTTTTAAAGCGATAGCTTTCTATAGCTAATTTGGAAATCTTGGATGAACGTCGGCCGACATCACAGGATTTCGAATTAGAGGAGGAGGAGCGTTAGAGGCCGAGGAAGCGTTGTAGTATCCTTCATTGTGATTGGCGGAGAGCTGACTTGCCCTAACTAAATGAGGCGGTAAAGCATCATTGGCTGCTCCTCGTGTCCACATTCTGAGAAGTACGCGTTGCTCTTCCTGGTATGCCCTCAAGATGTCACATATTGAACTCTCTTTAAAGTTAATACTCTTTCGGAAAGCCGCGCCTCCCACGACACTAAGAGAGTGAGCGTCTTTCCTGTCAAGTGATTTTCCTTCTACTTTGTGCGCTCATATATTTCTACATTATGTTGTACCAACTGGCCCAGCATTCCACTTTATTGAACTTTATTATACTAAGAGGTATTGCGATCATTTAACCATATGGTGTAGTAGCGCAAATTCACGGGGACGAAGAGGACAAGAAAACACGACACTCGCTACAAGTAGCGAGTGTCGTGTTTTCTTGTCCTCTTCGTCCCCGTGAATTTGCGCTACTACACCATATGGTTAAATGATGTCTTACCAACTAGCCCAGCTCTCAACCCTACTGAAGGTATTGCGATCTCCAAGGAGAGTAAACATTCATCCTTATAGAGAGTTATATGACAATTGTGTATAGTTAAGTGAACAGTTAGGACTTGTCACAAAATGTAAGATAATCGTATATTCAATTTCGCTAACGGATCGAAAACAGACGCGCCCATCAGTAGTAGGTTTCCAGATCCCATTCGCCACTGAATCTTCAGGGCTTCCCTCGCAGCTGGGCCGCAGATCACGCCATTCCGATGGCTGGACGAACTCCAGGAAGGCATGCGTGCCGCACTCAGTTGCTTCGTGCACGCCGGTGAGCCGCCCATCGTCATCGAGTGGCTCAAGGACGGCGCACCTTTCACCAAAGCCGTGCGCCAGGACGGCTTCATGTCCACGATATCGATGGACGCCCTTACGCCAGCAGGACAACGGCAACTACACCTGCCGCGCGTCAAACGCCTGGGCAACCGCTAGTCACAGCACCGTGCTCAAGGGTCAAAGGTCAGTCCCTTGCATCGTCATTGTTATTCAATTCAATGTGCTTTTTAACCTCATTGGCCAACTTCAAGGAGGTTTAAAAGATTGGAGAGGAAGTTATGTTCAAGAGTGAAGTCAGAACTAACTCAGATGGCGGTGGCGATCATTTTACCAGGAGTAGGATAGAACACTTAAGTTTAGCGTATAAAAAGGGCACCTTTGGATTCAACTCCTTGCAAGTTTACATTGGGAAAGTTTTCTGGACTCATACAACTCAATGTGTGTCTTTGTGTTACTGCTGTTTTCAATTGAACCTTGAAGGCTTGGCCAATTTCTTCAAATAGTACTTGTTTAAATGTGTACTCGTTTAAACGTACTCGTTGATATGTGTTCATTTCGTCGGAGAGATTTATCTCTTTTTTTAATTAAACAAGTCCTCACAATAACACAACAAAACAAATTTACAAATAAGCTACTCCAACATGAAGCTGCACTCAGAACACGCATTAGACAGTTTCGTATTTATTGGTGTGTTTTTTTTTCAGTTTGCTGTGGCCCTTCGGCGGGGATAAACAATACCACAACTCACAGAGACCATGCAAGTGCGCGTGTAGTGCTTCATTGTCTGAGTTACATGTTATTCTCGACGCGCACGTTATCCAAATAAGCATTCACGTCATGTGCTAATTTGGATAGCATGACACTTGGGCGATTACGTAAATGTTCACTTACCATAAATCACAACAAAACCTGGACACTACGAGCTTGTGTTGGGGGGATAGTCGGGGAGGGGGGGGGGCGGTCAAGTTTTCAAGATATGTTGGATGTGCCGTAAGTTCTTTCACATAAGTATTGAAGTGTCCCTGTCTGTCACATAGAAGAGTACATGACATTCTTATCTAAGCACATTGGTCCTAGTCCACTGATGCGCCGAGTCGAAAATGTCCGGCAAGACAACGGCATATTAGAAGAATCACCCAACGTGGTAGCTTAGCTGGCCGAGTTTCTAAGCCCGAGGACGCGGGTTTGATTACCGTCAATGGCGGCCATATTCCAACGGAGGCGAAGCGTAGGAATGTGTGTGCATGTAGTACGTATATTTAGTTGCGCATTAAAGGACCCCAGGCGTTCAATGTACACCCGGAGCCACCCACTATACGGCATACCTCGTAATCATATCGCCATGCATGCTTATTGCTTCATTGTTATTTTTTATGACCCGGCTGCACCAATAACAGTTGTCCACATGCTTTAAAGGGGCCCTTAAACACTTCTTGAACGTGCTCAGAAAACGCTGCCGATCGGTAGTCGAGGCTCTCGAAAACAAGGGAGCCTCGACGCGTGGCCTGGAATTTGCAACTAGTTCTCAAGTCAGCTAAAGATCGCTTTCCTTTCTCTCGACAGATGACGCTATATACTCAGAAATCGTCGCAGGCCCAAGTATCACACTATTCGCTGATTTGACATGGCGCGCTCAGGAGTTACTGGGGCCGCCGCGGGAGGCCGCGACGTGCCCGCGCGATAGCGCTGAAGAGCTGCGCGTTCGAAGAAAAAAAAAGAGAGAAAGTGCTCAAGGCATCGTGACGTGCGTCACGTGACATACCTTTTTCTCCCGTGTCATTCCTCCCTCTTAGCTTTTCGAGCTTTCGTCATGACGAGAAAAGAGAGAAAGCAATCGCGGCGTGCGACATCCTTGTGACTCCTCTCATACTAGACAGATTCTAAACGTTTTTGCGGCGTTCAATCGGTAAAGCAATAAGCTCCTTCACTGAATCAGTTCTACGACTACTTGTGAAAGCGTCGCAGGGCCTTTTAATGTCATTCAGCGAAGCACTTCCGGGAATGTTTGGGGAAACATCGTGATTAATTTAGACTGTTCTGATGAGATAACACGCACGCACCAGCGGTCAAGTTTGATCTAGAGATCATCCGAGTATCAGCGATAACACTGAAAAGTTCTACTGTGCCGCATGCACAAAATGTATATTTCGCCAACGATCAGTTAGTTGATCGACGTCACCGTTATCACTGCATAGCGAGTGATGCTTCTACTTCGAGTTGTTCTTTTCCGGGCATAACTTCACCAAATGAAGAGTTTCGTGTTTACCGGCTTAACTTGAAAAGAATATCGACGGTTTCAATTATCTTATCTTCCGCAGTGGCCCCGAGCTGGAGATCGGAGCCCAAGGACGTGGTCGCAGTCACCGGTCACTCGGTAGTGGTTGACTGCCAGGCGGAAGGCGAGCCACCGCCGCACATACGCTGGAAGACGGCGTCGGGTAAGCGGCATGAATGAACTCACTCGCCGTTCTGTTCCCTGTTCAAAAGCGTTATCTGACATTGTGCTACCTCGTAGCAGATGCAAGCGTAACGCGTGAACGTCACCGTCACATAGTATATGTGAAATCAAGCTTACAACTTTCGGGCACTGGTCCCCGTAGATACGAGAAGAGATCTCGGCAGAAGAGCGTGATTTTACTGAGACGGAGCAATGAAGCTGGACGGTCAGCGTAGAGATTTCGCTACAGGCATCACACGAGTCATGCATGTCCTTTTAGAAGCCAGAACACATGAATTCGCGTTTTCTCAGCAGCACTTGAAGTGTGGGAACTACTTCGTCATATTTTATTCAATGAAATGCAAAATCACCAGGGCCAATCCGGAAAAAACACGCGTTTGTGTTGTCTTGATGTCTTGTGGCCGTATCTCCACACCTTCTTCAATTGAAGTTTATTTGTCCTGAATTCAATAAGATTGGCAGCACAGGTGGAAATATGAAAAACCTTACAAGATTCTTCCCTTCTAATTTAAGCTTAAACGCGGGCCCGGGCCGCTGAACATTGCAGTATCGAAATGTATCACAAGTACACTTTCTGACATTACCCCAATAACGCAACAAAAATTACGACAGTTTCGATTTGTCGCAAATCGGGAACAACTGGCTCAACTTTCTTCCGTTCTCATACGCTATAGTTCAACGCATTTCTTTTTTTTCTTACGAAAGCAAGCACGTACGCACGCAACTGCCTTTGAAGCATCTCTCACAAGAAAATAGTCCGGCTTGCAGCGCAATCAGATGCGCCTCGGGGGTCACCGTAGAATGTTCGCTCGCGCGGAGGAAATCGAAGCAGCAGCCGAGTGCCAGTCAGCGATAGCGTCGAATCGACAATGCCACGTTTTCTCTCCCTCTCTCGAATATCCGGCTCCCACCTCCTCCATTGCCCATCCCACCCAAACCATCGTCGCAAACAAATGGGCCACCTGCTCCCACTTATTATTATTCAAACGGCAGCGACGGGGCCATGCGAAGGTCGTTTCCTAAGACGCCACCGCCGAAAAAAGCTTTCGCTTCGCGTTATACTCCTCTGCCGTGCTTTCTTTTCACCCATCACCTTTCGTTCGCAACTCATTTGAATCACCTCTCTTCCTCTTCACCCGTTTAGTCTCTCTGACTCATTTCGGTTTTATTTTTTTTACTTACGTTCTCATAGCACCTTCTGAATTCTGAGAAGTTGTTCATTTTCCTTCCCGAGGTCCAATGAAGTGACGACGATTTCGTTATGCGAAAAGAAAAAAAAAAGAGATGTGGGGAAACACTTTTTTCTCTCACAGCACTCTCTCTTCATCCGTAAACGCAAATAAGCGCCTAAGATAAACACATAAAAAGGAGACGCAGCTGAGCTGCCGACGAGAGCGGACGCGTTTCGACGGCTCCGTGAATATCGGCTGAAAGCATCGGCTCGCGCGACCATCGCCCCACCGGCGTTCCCCCACTCTCTGCGCCCTGGCTCAACGCAACGCCGCCCAGCTCTCTGGCCCCACCGGCTAAGGACAGACCTGCCGGACGCCCTGGACGAGGCCGTGGGGTCGCCCCCAAGCACTCTTCTTCCGGACACCATCGACGACCTGGACTAACCACCCTTGGTGCCGTTCACTTCAACATTGTGCGTGGGACGCTCGCCAGGACGGTTCCGGCGTCTCGCCGGTTGCGTCTGGCAGCGGCGGCGCTCCCGTGTTCTTCATGTGAACCAGTGACGATGGCTGCAGCGGAGCTTGGGACGCAGCCATCACAACCATCATCCGCTCCGAAACGCAGTGCGAAACGCGTGGCTGACTCACAAATGGGAATAGATGATTTGTCTGCTTCAGCCACACCGGCAAGCAAGCGGGAGTGCCCCTCTCCGGCAGCTGTCGCCTCGCCTGGCACCGAGTCTAAGTACAAAGTCGTCGTAAAACCTCGTGAGTGCTTCGATGTATCAAAATTGTCAAATCGCCTCCTTCAGTCAGCCTTCGACACCTGCCTCCAAACCACCGCGTTTCAAGGTTTCTCCATTCACCATCCCACCAACAGCGTATCCGTATGGGTGCGTTCGCTAGCAGACGTTGACCGCCTCACCCACCTGCAAACTCTGCCAGTCACAGCTGATTGTACTGTACAGGTGCAAGCGTACTTGAGTTCCGGCTCGGACTTGCGTCGGTATGTGGTCTCTGGGGTTGACCCAGGGGAATCGCCGGAGGGCCTTATCACTGCTTTGACCTGCTCCACACACAAGATTGTAACAGCTCGTTATATGGGCCGTGGACGCACGTGCCTTGTCACTCTCCAAGGGCCTCGAACGCCACCAAGCCGCATTACGTACTATGGATGCATCCTGAAATTTCATGTGTACAAGCCCGGTGTGGTACACTGCTATCGGTGTTTTCGTACCGGTCACATGCGAGATTCTTGTCCCCAACCCGCAGACACCTCCATGGAGTCCGTCGAGACGCGCACGTACAAATGTGGGCTCTGCCAAACGGACGATCATGAAATAACGTCCAAAGATTGTCCAGTTAAACAGAAGGCTCTCAAAGCCCGTCGCCAACGCAAGCGCCGCCAGCGTTCGGTGACACAAGAAGAAAGGGACGCCGACATTCCGACTAGCAACCGGTTTGAACTGTTGTCCCCCTCCGAAGAGGACACACCAGCGTTGGTAGAACCTGAAAATGCTTGCTATGAAGTCCCCACGTACAGCGACGCCGTCAAGCGGGGCAAAAAACGTGTTCAGCAGCCTGCGAATACGCCTAAATTGAGCGTTACGGGTACAGACGATCTGGCGAAGCTTGACCAACAGATACAGCAGCTCCAAATGGAAGTCAAGCGCCTCGCTCAACGCAGAACCCATCTCGCTCGACCCGCTGGACCAACTGCGATGCGCGGTACAGACGTGCCGTACGCTGCTTCTGTGCCTGAATTATCCTGCGCAAGCGCGTCAGCACCAGTCAAGATGACTCCGGCAGAGCTCCTCCACTTTGTTGCCCGGCAACTGCAAGAGCTTTCAAAGGTGGTGCTCGCCAACCTTCCACCGCAATGACCACTCCTTTGAAAGCAACGCGCCACCACTGTGTCCTGCAGTGGAACTGCCGGGGACTTGCAAATAAAGTTGGTGAGCTTCGCTATCGCCTTGCGCTGGGGAAGCTCCCCGCTTGGTGCCTGCTTCTACAAGAAACGAATTCGCTTCCACGCATCCCTGGATTCACTGCGTATGATTCCCCAACCATCCCTGATCGACGCTGCACCAATGCGTTGGGACCTCCAGGCAAGGCTGCAGTGTATGTTGTGACTACATATCCTCAAACGCAGGTTCCCCTGCTGCAGTGGTGTAACCAGTGGCAAGAAGTGGTGGCAGTGCTCGTTAGACTTCCGCGTACTGACGTGATTGTGGTTTCAGTTTACGTGCGTCCGTATAGTGGCAGCGCTCCCCGACTGCGTTTGGGGTGGCTGGCTCACCTGCGTCAAACCTATCCTGGGTGCCCAGTACTAGTTGGGGGAGACTTCAATGCACCTCATCAGTCGTGGGGCTACCCTTCTTCCAGTGCTAGAGGCAACATCGTGCTAGACACATTTACAGACGCGCACTTTGTCCTTCTGAATGCCCCGGCTACTTCTACACGTCGGTGGGATCATCCCTGTGCTCCACCTTATGCGCCCGATCTCTCGTGGTGGTTGGGCATGTGTGACGTTTCGTGGGACCTAGAACCAGACTGCTGGGGGAGTGATCACCATCCGTTGAAAATTGGTTTGGCCGCGTATAACCAGCGCCGCCTCCGACGTCGATGCTACACAACCAACTGGGACTTATTCCGCAATGAACTGAACGACTCGATTGCTGATACATCGTCTGATCCATTGCAGGTGTTAACCAGAGCTGTACAAGCCGCCACGCAGTCAAGCTGGGTAGAGGAGAACCGACCACATCCAAATTTACATCTTCTGCGTCTGTGGGCAGCACGCCGTCGTGCAGAGCTGGCCTTAAACCGAGATCCGGCAGCCGCTGAGCTTCGTGATAACCTCAACAGACTCACCGCTGCGGCGCGTCGCTGCGAGAAGCGTCTCGCCCGCGAACGGTGGATGGACTGGTGTGCGTCACTCGGTCCATCGTCTTCAACCGCCTCAATATGGCGAACGTTCCGGAGTATGGAACTAGGCACCCGTACGCCGGACCCAGCGGCCAGTGCGTGTCTGTCTTCTGGATGCACGCCAAGCCAGTTCGCTCCAGAAATAGTTAAGGCTTTCTTCCCGGCCTACAACCTGGCCCCACCACAATTCGACTGTCCGTGTAACCTGCCTCCGGAGGTTGGCGTGACTCCCAGTCCGTCGGACATCGAAGGCATGCAAGCGCCATACACGATGGCGGAGCTCCAGGCAGCAATTGACCAGGCAAAAGTACGCAAGGCACCAGGACCAGATGGGATCTCCTATGAAGTGTTCAAGAACATGGATGGCCCTGCACTGCAGTGGCTGCTGGACACGCTTAACGCAGTCTGGACGACCGGAGGGCTGCCTGAATCGTGGAAGCATGCCGAAGTTGTGCCGATACCTAAGCCGGGAAAGCACCCGAACAGCCTCTCTAATCTTCGGCCGATTGCTCTAACGTGTACGTTGTGCAAGCTTCTTGAACGCATGTTGGCGTCGCGCATCTCCTGGTGGCTGGAAAAGCACGCCTGGTACCATCCGGCCCAGATTGGCTTTCGACCGCACCTGGGCACGGAAGATGGCCTAGATCATTTGACGTCCATGGTGCTTGTGGGAAGAAGATCAAGCAGCATTCGAACCCTTCTCGCCATGGACGTTCATAAGGCCTACGACAACGTCAGCCACTCTGCGATCAATCACATAATGCAATGGCTTCAACTTCCGCCTCGCGTCTGCGACTTTGTGGAGTCTTTTCTGGCACACCGTACCTTCTGCATCAGAGTAGGCAAGGAACGAACCGGACACTTTGTAATGAAGCGGGGTGTACCGCAGGGCTCGGTTCTAGCCCCGATACTCTTCAATATTGCCCTGTTGCCCCTCGCGTGGCAACTAGCACGCATTCCAGATGCCTTCTTCCTCCTGTATGCCGATGATTTGACTGTGTGGACACTACATCCAGACCTTCAACGCCAGCAGGAGGCACTCCAGAGTGCTCTCGACAAGGCGTCGGACTGGTGTGCGCGCATAGGACTGACACTATCTGCCACGAAGACTGCATTCATGTCTATCACCAACAGACGAGGTCGCCGTCGCCTCCTGCAGACGCCGATATGTTTGAGCCTAAATGGCCATACCCTCACCCCTGTATCCACTATACGTGTGCTCGGGGTCGAATTGGACGCATCTGGCTCTGCGAATGCGTGGGTTCGCTCTGCTCGCCGGAAGAGTGCTAATACCCTCCATCTCATTCGTCGCATCTCTCAAAAGACGGGGGGTGCCTGTTCTCGAATGGCCCGTATCTTGGTGCGATCAATCCTACAACCTCGGCTCGTTTATCAAGCTCAGTTTCAACGACTGACTTTGAGAGACTGGGACTTGCTCGAAACCGCCAACCGAGATTCCATGAGGGCGATTACATGCCTTCCCCGTATGACACCTATCACGACCCTCCAGGCGGAAGCGCAGCTCAACACCATCGACGAAATAGTACACCAGCGTCGAGTCGCTCGCTACCTAAAGAGTCAAGCTGTTCCTGCGGCGGCAGCTCTAGCTCACTACTATGGTTCAACGCTGCCACAGCCTGACGCACCCGTGGCAGAAGTTCCACCATGGCTCAAGGCACAGGCCAGTGACAACCGACCACTGACCCGCCTGCGACAATCCACCCGACAAGCGGCGCAGGAGGGCATCGTCACTACCACCGAGAACTCACTAGCGGTATACGTAGACGCAGCTACCGATAATTGCGTTCTGCACACCAGTCTCGTATGCCCCGCGCAACCTGAAATCCAACATATCTGCTCTTACGTAACAGAGGCACCGTTCCCATCCGTATTAGCGGAGCTCACTGCTATACGGGACGGGTTAACAGTTATGATATCCAAAATGGATTCTTTGTCACACGATAAATTGCTTGTATATACGGACTCCACGCAGGCAGTTCGAGAGCTGCGAAAAGTGACCAGCTCCATCGATATAGCCTCCGATATACACCGACTGATCCACTCATGTGCCTGTCCTGTCCGCGTTCTGTGGACCCGCCGGTCTGCACCGGCTCAAGTGGAAGCAGATGCCGCTTGCCATCCAGCGACTGTTCAACACCCGCTGCCTCTACTTCGTTTGTCCCCGAAGGACAGCTTGCTTGTGCACAAAGAAACCCTCCGGCGCTCCACGCGTGCTCTCATTCCTCCGCGTGGATCTGACCTTCCCGGCGGCTTAACTCGCCGAGAGGAGGTTGCGCTCAGGAGGATTCGTGTGGGCGCCGCCTTGACTCCTGCAATCCGGGCTACATGGACATCTGGTGCACAGCCTCCCCCAACGACGTGCCCATTCTGCGTTGCCCCAGCCACAGAGGCAACGCTTGATCACCTATTGGGAACCTGCCCGGGCCTTCACCAGGCTCGCACTCGCCACCTACGCGGCCTTCACCACCACCCCGGCCGACCACCTGACTTGACGCGCTGGACGCACGGTCCACTGCATCGACAACTCCTGGCCTTCATACAGGAAACAAAACTTTTCCTTTTTATTTAACTGATGCCGTAGGGCATACTAGCGCCAATAAAAAAAAAAATAAACACATAAAAAACTAGTCACGCGTGCTGTGTCAGACTAAGGCACCTTGTCAAGCACTGGCGTTGCTGAACGTGCAAATTCGAACGTCTCTTTCCCCCTCTGTGTGTATGTGCGTGTTTATTTCTGCCGTCCTTCGCACAGATCTTAATATCTGTGCATGTGTTCTTTCTTACATTGCCAGTGTGTCTGTGTTTTTTGTTATGCGTTTACTTTTTTCACCCTATCCCGCTATTGTACGCTTGTGCGCATGCGCATTCTCGTGCGTGCTTGCACTGTGCGAAAAAAAGAGCCCCATCATGCACGTGCCCCCAGAAATTCGTGAAGGCGTACAACACATATAAACATAATAGAAAGTGAAGGGCGGGGTGGTGTTCCCTCCTAGCAGTACAGGGTGGAATGAATACCGCGGAATGCAGCAGAAAACAACAAGCGAGGCGACGTCAGAAAGCGGGTCAAAAAGCAGCAGCAGAGGCGGCGCCTTCAGGCGAGAAGCCGGTGTCACAAAACCAAAGCGCAGGATGCAATGGCAGATCCGGAGTTCTTTTTTGTTCGTATCTGCTTATCTTGTTTTGAAGAAAGCGAGGACGCGGAGGTGAAGACTGGCGATGAGGCAGCCGAAGAAGACGGTCTCGGAATGCAGGCGCGAGGAACGGCGCGGCGGCGTCGGCATTTGCCGCGACTATAGCGCCGCGAAAAGGAGAGGACGGCAAGGGCGGGAATGACCCGCTCCAGTGAGAGATTCGCGAATGCAGAGATTCAGCGAGAAATAACGGGTCCCGTGCGCGCGCTACCCCTCCAGCCAAACCTCGATTTGTTATTTGTATTGTTTTGTTTTCCTCCTTGCCCCTCGCTTTCTCTCGCGCGGATCCGCGTTTAAGATATGCGCATATATATCGCGACGTCAGCGCGTCTGTTCTCGCCTCGCACGCCGAATATCATTTTGGAATCTGCGCGGCAGCGTAAGAACAGAAGAGACGGCAAGAAAAGGAGAGAACAGGGAACGAGAAAGGAGGAGAGGGAAGTAAGAAACAAAGATGGGCAATGGAAAAGGAGAAACGCGCACCGTTGCATACCGTCGGACTCAGCTGCAGGATATCCAGCAATTCAACAAACGAGAAGTCTCGTAGCGAGGATGAGGACAGGCATATCGCGGGCGCTAACCGACAATTGATTCCGGGGCAAAACTTCTGAGAGGAAGGTTGAATGAAATTATTTTTTTCGCTTTCGTTTATCTTTTTTTAGGCAGTCATTGAAGGAATTAGTCTCGGGCTGAGAACGGATGTGCGAAAGAACAAGGCAACGTTAAGATGGGATTAGCCTGTCGCTTGGAAATGAGATTGGTGTCGTAATGAATGGGGACGAAAAAGCAAAACAAGCATCCGATGAAAATTCGGGAAGATTTTCTTTGGTGCCAGCACGTCCCAAATAATTGATGATGGTCTAGAAATGCGTAGGGTTAGCGCTTGTCTTGTACCCTTCTCACCGTTAGGTTGTCGCTGTATAACGTATCCAGAAAAGCAATATTCACCTCCTAGTTACGAGATATTATAAAGCACGCGCACTATTAACATATAGCTACAGCGCGTTAGAGATAGTGACCTAACACTTGTAAACGTACTCGGCGAAAATGGAAAAGGAGCAGTTGTAACACGGAATAAAAAACAATCTGTGCAGGACACGTGATAATCTAGTTACTTTTCTGCCAAAGTTTCTCTCTCTCTTTCTCTCTACGTTATATCACAAGCCCTTAGGATCGACAGTCTGCCATAAGTAAAGACCACTTCTCACAAGGTTGTACACATGAAAAAAGACGCACTAATGCTTGAATAATTGAGTTCATGTTTAAGTTGAATGTCATTTCAAAGCACGTTTTGCGTAACTCTCAGCAAGTAGGCATGCTGCCGTAGGCGATCAGTAAGAGCACAGGCTAGTTCAGTCTTTCTATCGAAGCGTCTCGCCGAAGCGTGACTTCTATTAGTTCAGCACGGTAATATATTAGATGAAACTACTTCTGTAACTAACGGGATCCCACAATGCCAATCTTGATGAGTCTTCTATATGTTCGTAATTAGGCAGATATGATTATAACGTAAACCTCTTCAACTTGTTAGCAAGTAAAACTGTGTTATCTCCAGCGATCAATATTTAATACTAGGCTGGGATATTAAGTCAGCTGTTAAGTATGAATAGTCACGAGGACTTCCTGCTAAGAGTAAGTGATGTTCCTGTACCTCGGTCCTTCTCTTCTGATTATTTTTCGCTGACATCCATCGTCCCCTAAAGAAAGCCAACTTGGTAAATTATTCCAGCCAACGCTGCTTCCTGGACTATTTTCATCTCTACAGGTTGGGACGGCGGCCCCTATCGCGCCCTGGTGAGCACCTCCCGAGTGCACGTGCTCGTCAACGGATCTCTGAGCGTGCGCAGTCTGGAGACTGGCGACGCGGGTCTCTACCTGTGCGAGGCCTCCAACGGCGTCGGCGCTGAACTCTCCAAGGTGGTGCGCCTCACCGTACGCAGTGAGTGAGAAAAACGATGCTGGGTCGTGCTTTCCTACCAGTCGAATCTGCAGTTTATGATTGCGTTTTCTCGGGATTGCGCTTCGCCTATACGGCGTCAACGTAGAATCCTGCTCCCGTGACGAGAATCTGAAGTTTAGTCCGTTGCTCTTACACGTGTAGCAAGTAAGTCACGAGTGATATACATACGATGGTTCCTGAGATAAGGGCACCTTTATGCTCGAGGTGGCTAGAGAAAGAGCAATAACATTTATTTATAAATCCGGCGTGATGGAAGTGCCTGGTCTCACAGGGCGTAGATGTTCCCTATGTTAAGATTACGGCTATTCCGATAATCTCGGAGCCTATACCTCGAGGATGTTGTGCTCCGACAGTTACTCGGGTGCCTCCACGCCCGTTAGACGGGTCGTCGACTCCTTTTCTCCGTTGCTTCGCCAAAGCCTCCTCAAGCCGCTGGATGGCGCTCGAGGTGGCTAAACTGCGTGCCTTGAGCGAAACACGCTTTTAAACCGAGCCCGCAGTGAAAGCGTTGACGAAAACGCGAGCCACGCAAATCTTTGGGGATGCTTAGAGGCATGTCTGCCAAAATTATAGTTTTTTGTTTCGTTGCGCAGGCAGTCCTCGTCTGTCACCCAAGGAGTCGACCACGTCCGCCAAGCGGGGAAGTACGGTGCACCTCCAGTGCGAACCGGAGGCTGGAGACACACCCATGCGCCTCTGGTGGCTCAAGGACGGCGTGCCCGTCGCAGCTCTCGGAGATCACAGGTATCTGTACTGTGGGCAGTGGGATAATAGCTATTTATAACTATACTCTTTCACCAGTTTATGCACGGCGTGTCTGCTAAGAAACTAGAAACGCCCGTTACGAACATTGAGAGCTTCGCAACGAAATCCAAGAAAACCCATCACTATGCGGTGGTTAGTCTAAACACCAAGTGATTAGTCCAAACAAGTGTTCCAAACTGATTAGTACCAGACAAGCTTGTTTTTCATAGAATATAAAGGTTAAGCTTATACAGCCTTGCAATTTGGTGGGGTTGAACAATTATAGCACACACAGAAAGTGTGTTAACTTGCCTGATATATTATGTCTACTGCAACACGTTTTTGGTTGCATTTATAATGTAATTGGGCAGCATATATCCTCAACCGTCAATTTTCGTTCAAGCTTGTATATAACTGATCCTCCTTCATTCTCATTTAATTTGGGAAACATGAGTTTATTCTTAACAAATATCATTAAATCTATAGTTGAGATGGTCCTCGCAAAGATTGAATCACAACTCACTCAAAGCGCATTATCGCGTCAATGTCAGTTTCTATTCATCAAACTTTTTTTTTGCTTCTGTGAATGAAGAACACAAGGTATTGAATTTACGGTACTACAATATTACGGCATTGCTTCTGGATTCATTGTTTTTAAAAAAGGGGCAGAGCACACTCACCTTACTTTAATTTCCAATACAATTAGCCAACTAAGTACCATTTTTCAGGCGGCGTACTACGTCCTTAGTAACACAAATTGCAAGCAGCAAAGCCTATTTAAAACACGACCAAACTCTAAATACGCTTTCACTTCCCTCACGCGACAAGCGAATACATGTTTCCTTTTTTTTTCTTTCAGGTACACGCAAACGCAGCACACTGACGTCAAGAGGCCCAAGTCTACGCTGACAATCACGAACGTCCAAAAGTCTGACGACGCCGTGTTCACCTGTCACGCTTCCAACGACTACGGAGAGGACACAAACAACGTGCAGCTGACAGTGCAGGGTACGAGCATCTGATGTCGACGTCTTCCTCTAAACTTTTCAGTTGTACGTATAGGTCGGCGAACTCACTCGTGAGACTAAGAACCAGCCACGATGTTCTAGCAATGTTTACGGTACTTAACTGGCTGCAGATCGCGACATCGAATCCCGGTTTCGGCAGTCGCATTTCGACGTAAATAGAATGCTCGAGGCCTTGATGTGTACTTAGATTTAAGGGTACGTCAAATAAGCGCCCAACTTGTTGAAATTCGCAAAGCTTTCTCCTACAGCGTCTCTCATAATCATATCATTGTTTTGGGATGTAAAGCATCAATAGATGTTGCAATAAGATTTGAGCGCTCGTTAAATAACTCCGGATGGAATTAATCCGAAGCGTCTTGCTACGGTGCGCCTCATAATCACCCGTGGTTTTCCCATTTACGGCTCCAGAATTTTGTTTTTTATTCGCAAACGGTGTACTATAATGCGTATATGCTAGCGAAATATATATTCCAGTGTCATGAAAAGAACACTAAGGCCTCGGGTAAGTGTGATTAACTTTATTCAACGCTTAATACAACAATCGTGCGTTGTTTTTTTCTGTGAAGGCCATAGAGTTCTTGTACTTTCAACTTCCCGCTCAGGTCAACTATTTTTTTATCTTGTCAGACGTACCCGGCGTACCCGAAAGCCTACAAGTCAGCGAAGCGTCCAGCAGATATGTGCGGCTTGCCTGGACAGAGCCTTTTAATGGAAACCTTCCCCTATCACAGTACCTGCTGAGATGGACAAACAAAGAAGGTTCGTCATTTTGGGGTTTATTAAAAATGGAATTTTAAATAGAATGGCATTGCTTCCATTTCCTTTAATAAGTTCTAGCCTGTGGCCATGTGTGTTTAAGACGGCCATAAAACTTCATTTTCGATCATAATCTATGTTATGCGAGTTATTCCTTGTACGTTCACAATTACGTTTTCGCGCATTTGCTAAACTTTAATGCATTTGCTGAAGGACCTAATTTTTAATTGAATATTTTTATGTAGACGCCAGCGGCCTAAAAGTCGGGAAACACAGATGCACTCGCGATCTGTGGCGTAACAAGCTGTCTTTCTCTGCGAGCGTATGCAATCCTTTCAAATGATTTTTTGTGCCGTGCCCGCGCATGCCATTAACCCATTTCCGCTTTCTTCGGCTTGATATTGAAATTGAACGATTCACGGCGGCTGAAACTACGGCAGAAAACCAAAGCTGCGCTCCATGCAGAATATGGCGTCACACATGCCATGGCAAAATTGCGATCACCGTCCGTGGGTGGTGTCTGATGCCGGCGACTTTAGTGCTTATTCTGTACCCCAAAAGTTATTGTGACAGTGCATCTTTTTTTTCACTTATGTACATGTACAATGCACCCTTTACGTCTATTTTTCGCTTATATCCACGAATTAATGCGTGGTCATGGCATGGCCTCCTTAAGTTTGTTGGCCCGCCGCGGTGGTCTATAGTGGCTGAGGTAATCGGCTGCTGACCCGCAAGGTCGCGGGATCGAATCCCGGCTGCGACGGCTGCATTTTCGATGGAGGCGAAAATGGTGTAGGCCCGTGTGCTCACATTTGGGTTCACGTTAAAGAACCCCAGGTGGTCAAAATTTCCAAAGTCCTCCACTACGTCGTCTCTCATTATCATATGATGGTTTTGGGACGTTAAACTTCACATATCAATCAATCAACCTCCGAGTTTATTAATATAACTATTGTGATCTGTAGGACTCAAATGTAGTTCTTTCATTCATTCGTGAACTATAGCACCATATCTATTCTTGATGTAAGCATGACATCATCGCTTAACATGAAAGGAGAGCCACCACCAGAGGAGCCCTTGTAGGCATGTACATTCGAGCAACCGAAAGTATTTGTATTCATATTGTACAGGAACGTGGGAGGACAGCGTGGCGGTGTCTGGCACCGAGACAAAGGTTACCGTGCGAGGACTGGTGCCCGCTGCCTCGTACCTGTTCACCGTGCGAGCGGAGAACGCGTTGGGTCCCGGCAGCTACACCTCGCCCCTGGAGGTGCACACCGACGATGAACGTGAGTTTGAGGTCAACTCGATAAATCGACTCGAATCGTTGATAGTTTTTTTATCCCTTTCTAAACGCGCGTATTTTGCGGTAGCAAGAATACCTGTCAATAGGATGGTAGAAGCACCTTGCTAAGTTTCATGTTATCGACGTCAACTTTGATTTCTTAATTTGGCACGTTTTTCAACATCTTGCTTTTTTCTCTATTTTATTTTTTCTGTATATGTGCCCAGCTTTTTAATGAACTTTAGTTTGAAGAAAGCGCATTGTGTTCGTCCTTTCGCTCCTCGTCTTGTGTTTCGAGAAAATTCGTTCCAACTATTCAGAGTCACAGCTCCCTTGGGGTTATTTTCAAATGCGACAAATATGGTTTTAGCAGCCGTCTGACTCCCTACGATAATTGAGATTATATCGGTGATATGCCAATGGTGGCCATGACAGTAGCAGTGAAGGATGTGTCCTGAGACAATTTTTAATTATTGTTCAGTCGAACTGGCTTTGGCGTTCAAAACAGACAAGATCCTAATTTTATCTCCGTTTCGCAGAACACGGATTTGGAAGATGCATTCATCGGTAAATAAAATTAGGTTATCGGTCTGATAACAGTAGCAAGGTAGAATCGAAACATTGACCTAGTCATAAATCGGACAACTACGTGTACAAAAGGGAGTATTGCCGCCTTGTTCCACGTTTTAAAGCAACTCTATTATGTTGGATTAGAGAGAGTGGTGTTGCGAACGAGTTGAACGGGAGTGGGAAAGTAAGGCTTGAAAGCATGGCTAAACGAGAAAGTAAAAACCCTACTCAAACATTCCACATGCCATTCTAATCATTCAATGTGTTTTCGTATGGAATTTATATATATGATCCAGCAATTATTGAAATAGGACGCGAAGACTTTCAACATGCAAAAGAAAGAAAAAAATATTTTTAAAAAGGTGGTTTAAGGGCGTTGCACACGTCTTTGGAACGCAAGACGTACTGCCGCGCTTGCGCTGCTTCCTTAGACGAACCATGGGCCGAACTTAGCATCAAATTCTGCCGATATTGCGAAATTCTGTATTCCGACAGAGGCCGGTCATCCAAAAGCTTTGGTTAATAGTTCTTGCGCTTTGTTTTATCTCTTTTCGAGGGAGCCTGCAGTGCCATTCCGGTCAGTCACACACAAAATACCAGAAGTAAGGTGAATCAGAACCCTTTCGTTGTGCTCTGACTACGTTTTTTTTTGGGGGGGTAGGGGGGTGAGGGGAGCTTTCCTTAAAAATTTCTACAAATTAAGGCTTTCGTGTCAGAGGGAACAATAAAAAACAACATCGACAATTTTTAAATGCGAATCATTTCTCGGCAAACTGAAGGCACTTTCAGCCTTTCTATCCACGTACCTGTCTATCGATTTAGCCGCCTACGTCTGGGTGCTCTTCCGATCGTCCCCTTGATAAGCTTCCTGCAAGTCGCGGGATCGAATCCCGGCTGCGGTGGTTGAAATTTCAGTGGAGGCGAAAATACTTTACGCCCGTGTGCTCAGATCTGGGTGCTCGGTCAAGAGCCTCTGGTGGTTTTGGGACGATAAACTCCGTTTATTATTATTATTATTATTATTATTATTATTATTATTATTATTATTATTATTATTATTATTATTATTATTATTATTATTAAATATAGCTTGGGGCTGACCAAAATTAATATACGAACGTAAGAGGGCATCGCGAACACGTCTGGCTGGTCATGACATGAATAACGTGAAACTCCTGTCGCGTACGTCGTCAGACCCTTTCCACTAGATGCGTGTGACATATGCCCAGTCAGCATGGGACATGGTATGTGGGTATACGCGACAGGTGATTGATAGTTTATACCTACCCATGAATGGTGAGAACGGACATTGGTAATTTAAATGCGAGAGCGTTAAGAAAAACTGACATTGGCAGTGTTGACAAGACGTTTGCAAAGAATTAATGTCAGGGGGCTGGCAGTAATCGAACCCAAGCATTCTGCGTGACAATGAAGTATTCTATCAGAGACACGCCAGGTCTCAAAACTTCTTTCGAAAAAGACGCTATACAGACGCAATGCTGGTGAAATGTCAGTTGCGGGTGGAGTGCTCCATATCTAATTTCTTAAATATTACATATGTGCTCTGATGATACAGGCGTCTCATCGGGTTAACATCAGTTGTATACTTCAGCGCAATGCTCACATGTTGGTCTACGCGGCACTATCCAGAGGTGCCATGTTTAGAAAAACCTCCCAAGCATTTCCCCGAGGGTGAACATGGTTAAGTGCGAATACACGGGGTGATGCTATGAGGGGTATTTATTAATTCGCACTATTATATTTATTAATCACACTATGGTGCCTTTATGGTGTAATGGTTCCTGGGAATCGCAATTTGATCACACGGGGAAATTTTCGTTAACTCACTGGTGAATGCCAACGGATTTTAACTTTACTCCCTCTCACGACCCGCTCTCGACGGGAGACTGAGAGAGTAGGCGGGCGCGCGAGAGAGAGGGGTGTGCGCGCAGCTGCAGCGAGTGAGGAGAGCGGAGGAGCGAGCCAAGGGGGAGGGGGTATAAGGCGCGTTACTGACACCGATATCAGCGTCGCGTCCGTGGCTTATTCGGTAGAGCGTCGCGCTGCGGCCCGCCAAGTCCTCTTTCTTTTAAAGATAGAGAGAAGACTGCGGACGCCGCCGACGGCGGTGAATGGTTTGGGGTCGCTTATAAAGTGTATTCACACTTAAAAAGTGTTTAACGATTTAGAGTACTTCGAACTCAACTATGGGAAAGCATTGAGCCGTCCCGCTAAAAGAATGCTATGGCAAGTACATCCCTAGAAAACCTATTAGGATCACAAATTCGAACGCTAAAGACCAACTAACCGCTTTTGGTCTTGTTACTATTCATGTTGCTGTTAGCATCATTGTGCAGCTGCAAACGAACTGGTTATACAGAACATATGCGACTGTCTTACATATGTCTGCGCATACATTTGTATATACCTTCAGCGTCATTTCGTAGCGTTTCGCTCATTAAAAAAAAGTTTCACCACAGTCACCTTCCATCCGCATGCTTCACATAACATCTATTACAGAGTACGCGGGATCTGCCGAATTTTCAGCTTTCTTTTTCCTGGTATTTATTATTGCAGCTCCTCGAAATGCGCCAACGAGTGTTCACCTAACGCCGATCGATTCCAGGAGCATCGCAATAAAATTTGAGGTGAGCATAACGGTCGCTCTACAGGTAATACTACCAGAAGCTATTCTCACTGATGTCACCGCAGAGTCCTTATAGTTTTACATTAAATAGAGCTAGGGCAATTACAAATCAGCTATCAATCTTCAGTGATAAACAGGATGAACGGAAGGAAAATTATCATTCAAAGCTATGACAATAGCAATGTGTTCTCTGTATATAAAATTTATATAAACTTCGTGCGTTCTTAAATCTGTTCATTCACTTCATGTTGGTTTTATTTTCTTCTATCTGTGGGCGCACATTGCATATTTTATTAAACCGTACAGCGTTTCCACGCAAAGCCACGTACTATGTTCGTTTATTACCCTATTCACATGAGATCTCGCGCACTCAAAAGCGTTTGCTTTGCAGTGGGTTGTCCAATTACGTAGTACATAGCAGTCGATAGATTCATGCATTCATTCCTTTACTTTTTATTGATGCAAAATTAAATGGAAAAGTCGTTGTCACCATTTTATGATGATGGCTATCCCTTTTCACTTGGTTGTTAGGAAATATAAATAAATATTGAGAAAAAACACATTATTTTGTTTGGTGAACTCTGTCGAGCGAACACATTCCGCTAACCTCTGCACATACGAGCATGATGCTAGCAGGGCATGTATTTCAGTCAGTGGTCATACGTAACAACTAGCAGCCATTTAACTAATTAGTAAATGTCAATGACTATGACTTGCTGAACAAATGAATAAATGGTTATTGACAGGTGATTTATTGATTGATTAATTGATTGATATTGCTTGCAATCAGGACGTTTCTTCCTCGCCCGGACAATCGGGGCCCGGTGGCAGCAACCGCGTGGACGGTTACTACGTGGCCTACAGGCGCGAGGGGTCGCCAGAGCCCCTCCGCTACCAGACGCTGCACGAACGAGAGGGCGTGCTCACCGGCTTGGACAGGGACACCCGCTACGAGGTGCTCGTACAGGCCTACAACTCCAAGGGACCAGGGCCTCCGTCCAGAACGCACTCCGCGCGCACGCTAGTTGCTGGTGAGCAAAGCAACCAGATGATTAGATACACATTACGCTCTTAATACTCATGTCATTGCTCATTCTATAACAGACAAAACGAGGGCGTCAGCAACGGTTGAGTGTCCTTTCTATCTATCTATCTATCTATCTATCTATCTATCTATCTATCTATCTATCTATCTATCTATCTATCTATCTATCTATCTATCTATCTATCTATCTATCTAACTAACTATCTATCTGCTTTACATTTTTTACTGTTTTTCCCCACTTGGTGTAGCGTAACAAACTAGTCATTTGTTCTGGCTAAAAATCACATCATCTTTTCCTTTCTTTCGTACTCACAGAATTCGACACTATCTGCCGAAAATAACAAACTTCAGGGATTTTATTTTATCAGAAGTTAAATAGAAAAAAAATAATGCTAAGATAAATATACATTCATAACTCATGCTTGCGATATGCTGAAAACATCCGTCCTGCTCAATCTCTTATTCAGCCAACGTGAAAAACAAAGCAAAACATAGATGTCGAAGCTGTCTTTCGCACTATCATTTGCTGGTTACAGATGGTCGTATTGCCAGTACGAGCAATGGCGTCAGAAATAGAGATAATCAAAATTCCTTCAAAAAGTAAGCAGTACATCAAATCGACCCGCGAAAAAGCGGCGTAAATAATTGCCTGTGATTGTCTATGCCCTCAAACAATGACAAGCATGGTGCCGGACTTGTTTAATTCTGCAACAGCGGGCGCAGAGTAGTCAATATGGCCGGCTGCCATGCCGGGGCGTCGTCGGCTTATCGCTCTCCTTAAATGTTGCAGATCCCCCTCCAGCTCCGACGTACCGGGTGGTCGGCACCACTGCTCGGACCATCTCGTTGGCGTGGGAGAGGCCGGTCATCGCTTTCGATGATCCCCCCATAAGGAGTAAGCCCGCCCGATGCATTATTGACGGCGCGCAGACGGTTTCGACCGCACGAAGCATGTGCATCGTGATGGAGACTGGCCGCACAGGCTCGTCTAACGGGTTATATACGCGGTCAGATCAAAGGGCTTGTACAGCTTAGCGCTAGTCTGGCGCTAAAGTGATAGTTGTCTGTGCGTCCTAGCGAGAAAGCTGTCATTTCTGGAGCTGTGGTGCACGTGTATAATGCGAGCATGCTAGTGCGTGTGTGTTGTTTCTGCATTGCTGGCTTTGCTAAGCGCGAGCAAAAAGCGTCATCGTACGAGGAAAAAATGTCTTTTTGAATGTAATGGAATGTCTCAAATATTTGCGCATCGATAATTCTAGTTTTTTTATCAACACGTATGAAAACCATGAAGCTTCATCAAAAAGACAATGCACACCAGTAACATTTTAATCTGGCTGTACATTGAAATATACTCAGGATAAATACAATTGAAAGAAATGTAGTTTTTTTTGTCTGCTCAAAGTGACGCAGAAGCATACATGGCGCAAATACATATTAACTGCTTTATGAACCAACAGGTGTATTTGACGGTATGCAATCTAGTCGTTCCGGTTGTAGTGGAGCATACGCACCAACGCGTATGCGCCTTCGGAAGACAACGAAAAGCCCGTGCTCTGCTTGCGCGAGAGTTTGTGCCACCTCTGCCAGACTTGCCGTACGCCCACTTTCCGTTGCGACCTCGCTGCGACTTCTCGGCTCGAATAAACGTCATCACATTTGGTGGAGGCTGCTGAGATCCCCAAGAAGACCTGGAGCTCCGCTCTCGCAAGTTGCCTGAAAGACTACCGCGAAACATGACTGACGCAGTCGCCAACCAGCCCGTCGCAGCCCAGCCAGCACCATCGGCTGCCCCGTCTACCTGCCCCGGCGCTACTCGCCAGCGGGACCCACCAATCTTCAGCGAAGTGGTGAGCAAGACGTCGAAGACTGGCTCTCCTTGTACGAACGCGTAAGCGTCAGCAACAAGTGGGACGACGACTCTAAACTCGCTTACGTTATCTTTTACTTGGCAGACGTAGCTAAGCTTTGGTTTACCAACCGCGAAACCGCCATCGCCAACTGGTCCTCCTTTAAGACCCTCGTAACAGAAGCGTTCAGCCGACCAAAGGTCCGCAAGCTCCGCGCTGACCAGCGTCTGCGCCACAGAGCCCAGCAGCCTGGCGAAACGTTTACGAGTTACATTGAGGATGTGCTCGACCTCTGCAGGCGTGTTAACCCGTCTATGCCCGAAGAAGAGAAAATTCGGCAGATTCTCAAGGGCATTGAGGATGGCGCATTCCAGATGTTGCTAGCGAAAAGCCCGACCTCGGTGGCAATCCTCGTAAGCCTGTGCCAGAGCTTCGATGAATTACGCCGTCAGCGTTCCATCGCCCGACAGAGTGTCTCACCACCAGATTCGATCTCGGCTGTCGCACTCGCAAATGTCAACGTTCGCCAAGAAAGTCTGTCCAACCAGATTAAAGACTTCATCAGGGAGGAAGTCGCCCGACAGCTCTCCCTGCTGCCGCATAGCGACGCGCCCACCGCAAGTCTGCCTTCGACACTGCAGCAGGCCATACGCACTGAAATTTGCGATGCCCTACCTACAGTGCAGGCCCCTTACGCATGCACTTCAGCAGCATCTAATCTCTCAGCTGTCAGCTACGCACCACCTGCACCATCTTCACCTCTCAGCTACGCAGCTGTGGTTGCGCGACCCCCACCGCATCCAGTATCCTTATCGGCTCCAACTCCTCCGGCAGCGCCTTTGGTTTACAGGCCTTCACCTCGCTTTTTCCGTCTATCTAATGAGTGGCGCACCCATGACAACCGTCCTATCTGCTTCGCGTGTGGCATCGCTGGCCACATTGCACGCTACTGCCACCGCCGTCCCACACCTGCGTACGCCTCCTTTGGAACTCCTACCTATGCGTCGCAGCAGGCCACCACGTCTGCATACGAACAGAGGCACTCTGACTCGGATCGTCGCCCATCAACTTCTCGTTTCCCATCTCCTCGTCGCCGATCGCCATCTCCTATGCGTCGTAGACCACCTCCTGAGGAGGGAAACTAATCTGTGCAGTTCCAGAGGCAAGAACTGCAACTTCTGCGCAATTATCAAGGCCTCCATTTTCGCCGCGAAATGTTGTTGATGTCAATGTTGAGGGAGTCGCCACACAAGCGTTAATTGATACTGGGGCCGCCGTTTCTGTGATGAACGCAAAATTTTGTCGCAAACTGAAGAAAGTGACCACATCTCTCTGTGGCATCGTGCTGTCCACGGCTAGCGCGCAACGCATTCAGCCCTCGTCTGTGTGTACGGCGCGCGTCGTCATCCAAGACGTTTTGTACATCGTCCAATTTTTTGTACTACCATCTTGCTCTCATGACCTCATCCTGGGTTGGGATTTCTTATCAGGTCATGAAGCTATCATCGATTGTGGTCGTGCGGAAGTGTCCCTAGTGCCAAGTTGTGAATTTCCACCGCCCGACCATTCACCACTGCTCTGCAAACTCATCGCTGACGACGACATCACCTTGCCTCCGGAAGCTTCAGTCCCTATTAGCCTTTCATGTGTGGCGCAACCTGACGCCACGGTGGTGTTTACGCCATCCCCTGTTTTTACTGAACGCAAGGGCATCGTGCTCCCATTTGCCGTTCTTACGATTGCGTCTGGTTTAACCGTAATGCTGGTTACCAACCACTGCAACTACCCCATTGGCTTGCTTCGTGGTGAAACGTTAGGATATGTGCAACCTGTCGACCATATTAATGATATTATTCTTCCCGACGAAACGCCATGTCAGATTGCCGCAATCACTCAGGCGTCTGAGCCATCAAGCTCACCAGCCTTCGACGATGCTATTGACGCAGACCTTCCCCCCTCGCATCGCAGCCAACTTGTTGCTCTCCTTAACAAGTTTCGCTCTTCTTTCGACTTTCAGAAACCTGCTTTGGGTCGCACCACGACTGTCACTCATACTATTGACACCGGCTCACATTCGCCTCTGCGACAGCGTCCTTACCGCGTTTCTGCCGAAGAGCGCCGCGTCATTACGGAGCAAGTAGATGACATGCTTAAACGTGGAGTCATACAGCCTTCTCAAAGTGCTTGGTCGTCACCCGTGGTTCTGGTAAAGAAAAAAGATGGCACCGTTCGATTTTGCGTGGACTATCGCCGCTTAAACAAGATTACAAAGAAAGACGTCTACCCGCTACCACGAATAGACGATGCTCTTGACTGTTTACAAGGCGCCGAGTACTTCACATCCTTGGATCTGCGTTCTGGGTATTGGCAGGTGCCAATGGCTGAATGTGATCGCCCTAAACAGCCTTTGTAACGCCAGATGGCCTGTATGAGTTCAAAGTCATGCCATTTGGGCTCTGCAACGCGCCTGCGACGTTTGAACGCATGATAGATACCATATTGCGGGCCCACAAGTGGAAAACTTGCTTGTGTTACCTAGATGACATCGTAGTCTTTTCAGCTGATTTCCCGACACATCTTCGTCGTCCCCACGAGATTCTGACGTGTCTAGCTTCTGCAGGCCTACAACTTAACACCAAGAAGTGCCACTTCGCAGCCCGCAAACTAACCATCTTGGGACACGTCATCACAAGAGACGGTGTTCTTCCGGACCCCGATAAGCTTCGAGCTGTCGCTGACTTCCCAATGCCCACATCACTGAAAGCCCTAAGAAGTTTCGTTGGTCTTTGCTCTTACTTTCGTAGCTTCGTGCGCAACTTCGCGTCCATCATTGCACCTCTGACTAGTCTGCTTTCCAACAGCAAAGGTATATCTGCATGGTCACCTGCATGTGACGACGCATTTCACCGGCTGCGCCGCCTGCTGACCTCGCCACCTATTCTTCGCCACTACGACCCCACTGCTGCCACAGAAGTTCACACTGATGCAAGCGGCGTTGGTCTTGGCGCAGTTTTGGCACAACGGAAAGGCACCCAAACCGAATACGTAGTCGCTTATGCAAGTCGCGCTCTTAAGAAGGCTGAATTGAATTACTCCGTGACAGAGAAGGAGTGTTTGGCCATAATCTGGGCGCTTACGAAGTTTCGCCCGTACCTATACGGCCGTCCTTTCGACGTGGTCACAGACCACCACGCTCTATGTTGGCTGTCCACCTTGAAAGACCCGTCCGGACGTCTGGGCCGTTGGGCACTTCGATTGCAGGAATACGACATCCGTGTCGTATATCGTTCCGGTCGCAAGCATGCGGACGCCGATGCACTTTTCCGATCGCCATTAACACCAGATGTGGCTTCTCTGTCACCCCCTTTACCACCTTGTCACCACTCGACAGCACTGACATGCTTTCGGAGCAGCGTAAAGACCCATACCTTGCCTTGTTAGTCGACTACCTTACCGATCCGTCTTCTGTCCCTTCCACGAGAGCGGTGCGCCGGCAAGCAGCCCACTTTTCCTTACGTGACAACATTCTGTACCGCCGCAACTACACGCCTGGTGGTCGGAAGTGGCTCCTTGCTGTCCCAACTCATATGCGCTCTGACATCTGCATGAATTTCCATGCAGATCCCCAAAGTGCTCACGCAGGTGTCCTGAAAACCTACGAAAGGCTGCGCCAACGCTATTACTGGCGAGGAATGTATCGTTTTGTGCAGAAATACGTTCAGTCTTGCACCACTTGCCACAGAACAAGACACCTCCGCGGCACCTTACTGGCATGTTACAGCCGCTCCCGTGCCCGGCTCGCCCATTCGACCGCGTGGGTATAGACCTCTATGGCCCCCTCCCATATAGTAGCTCTGGAAACCGGTGGATTATTGTCGGAGTCGATCATCTGACACGCTACGCTGAGACTGCAGCTCTACCGGCAGCGACCGCCCACGAAGTTGCACTCTTCATTCTCCACAGCTTCATTCTACGCCATGGTGCTCCGCGGGAATTACTCAGTGATAGGGGTCGAGTGTTCCTGTCGGAGGTCATCCAAGCTATCCTCGCTGAATGCAACATTATCCACCGGAAATCTACCGCATACCATCCACAGACAAATGGTCTTACTGAGCGGTTCAACCGCACACTTGGCGACATGCTGAGGATGTACACCTCCTCCGACCACACTAACTGGGACGCTGTATTGCCCTTTGTTACCTTCGCTTATAACACCGCGACGCAAGCGACTACCGGTTTTTCTCCGTTCTTTCTATTGTACGGCCGCGAACCTTCCCACCCCCTCGACACTATACTACCGTACCGCCCTGATGCATCTGAGTGCTCCCCGCTTTCGGAAATCGCCAGATACGCTGAAGACTGCCGTCAGTTGGCTCGGTCTCTGACAAGTGAGGCTCAAGGTCTACAAAAGACTCGACACGGCGACGCTCACCGCATAGCTCCTACATTTCGTGCTGGCTCCCTTGTGTGGCTTTGGGTGCCCCCGCACGTTCCTAGCCTGTCTTCTAAACTTCTGGCCCGGTACCATGGTCCGTACCGTGTCATTGACGCGACCTCCCCGGTGAATTACATCATCGAGCCGTTAACACAATCACCAGATTTGCGCCGTCGAGGACGCGAGACCGTACACGTCGACCGTCTCAAGCCCTACTACGACCCGCTCATTGTGCCTACTCCCTGAGTCGCCAGGATGGCTACCCTTCACCCCGGGGGTATTGTAGTGGAGCATACGCACCAACGCGTATGCGCCTTCGGAAGACAACGAAAAGCCCGTGCTCTGCTTGCGCGAGACTTTGTGCCGCCTCTGCCAGACTTGCCGTACGCCCACTTTCCGTTGCGACCTCGCTGCGACTTCTCGGCTCGAATAAACGTCATCACACGGTGGACATAAAAACGGTTAGAAATCACGGCAAGAACTAACAAACTTATCCCGCAGCTTCAATGCCTAGTAAGCTTTTCCGCTGCCGTTGCAAGATCGATACTCGGTCGTTGTGTACACACTGTAAACGAACTACACATACCTAGCAGTTCGTAGCAAACCGCAATTTTTCTGGGTGTTGGGAATGTGGTAATTCCCGCTTCGGGTGCATTTCCCGTTCGATTGATTTACTGAGCGCGCAATCGTTACAGCGTACTACGTGTCGTGGCGAGTGGAAGGCGACGAGCATCCTTGGCGAGAGCAGTCGGTGGGCGGTGACCGCACAAACTTCGCTCTTTCGGGTCTCGCATGCGGCACCAGACATCAACTGCGCATGCGTTCTGCCAGCGATGTGGGACGAGGACCCGAAGGCAACGTCGTCACAGCTTCGACTGAAGGGAACCGTGAGTTGTCCTTACCCGAATAATCGAAGTAGCCACAGGAAACAACCATTGCCTCTTTCTGTTGTCTCGTTGCTGTCGTAGTCACCACACCTTTCTTAGTTATTCTTTGCTCGGAAGCATGAAAACCAGTTAGTGTGCACGTCCACTAGTTAAAAAGACCAGTTAGTGTGCACGCCCAGCAATCCCCAGAGCCACTATGACTGCGCCGTTCCTTTGGTGCTGCCTGAAATGAGTTCGCTGTGATATACTCCCGGATTCATGCTACACAGAAGTAGCTTAATATAAGCTTCATGGATTTCCCCGTTATTACAATGTTTGATTATTGTAGACGAACTGCTCTTACTTACAGGTTTGCGTTCTACGAAACCCGAGCTGTTCCTTTGTTTGTAGACGTCACAAGGGTATACTTTTGATCACGATGGGGGTGGATCCGGACAGGATGTCCGTACCGCGATCAAGAATGCTCACCGCCACGTGGTCCAAGCAAATCGGAGTGGCAAGAACGTCACCCATACCGGGTTTCGAAAGCCAGAACGTGACGCGCATGTCGCGAGGCTCTCGACCCAAAGTGGGCATGATCGCCGTTAAAATTCATCGTGTAGCAGCAGCTGACCCGGATGAGACTTAGTCCGTGTAAGGAATCGGTGCACGATCCGGACGATGCTCAATCCAGATCAGCCCTGATCGCGATCAAGATTGCGCTTGTGACACCGGCATCACTTTAACTTATAACGTTGCACTTGCAAGCTGTGATACCACGCCGTATCTGAATGCCACCCTTTCTGTTACGTCATGACGCTCCTGGTCACAGGCCCGGTGCTGCAGCAGCCGGACCGCCTAGTTGACAGCAACTCCACATCAGCCTGGTTGCACCCCGAAGCGTGGTGGCACGGCGGATGCCCCATCAGCCACTTCACCGTCCACTACCGGCGCAGCACGGAAGCAGACTGGACGCTGGTGTCCAGTCACCTGCCGTTCAGGCTCAACGACGAGCCGCTGGTGCTCTACGATCTCGAACCGGGATCCTGGTACGTGCTGCTCATGGTGGCCCACAACGATGCCGGCAGCACCACGGCGCAAGTCAACTTTGCCACGCTAACGCTGTCCGGAGGTGCGTTGTGCTGCGGAACATGCGCGAGGCGTTTGGTTTTGCCACCGCACCATTTACTACGACTGCAAACCTTTATTTAGGTGGTGTAAATGCGTGACACGTAAGCTTTCCCGTGCTGCATTGAGTACTGCCTCCTTATTTGCTTCGTTTTAACAGTGGAACTCTTTAAACCCCGGGTAATTTCCTGGGGATACCTCGCCCGCACTTGCGGCCGTAGCTTGACGAGAGAGAGCACGGGCGATGCTAAGGGCGTGAGTGTATCAACTCTAGTGTATCAACTAAGAAGGTAACATGTACCAACTAGTCCAACAACCAGTTTTACTGGCGGTGCGAGTTGAGTCTAAAAGAGAAAGGTTAGCTACGTAGACTGCGTAAGCTACGTAGACTGCGTCAGGCAAAAGCGCAACTATGACGGAAGTGACGCAAATGTGGAGTGTAGGAGAGAACAGCAGCATGATTGGCTGTGCCGGTGAAAGGAGTCGATCAATTAGGGCGCGCTCGATCGCAGGTAGTGCTAATAAAAAAGAATTGGCACACTTACCACTGGCGAAAGTGGAAGAAAGGGGACGCTGATGCCACCGGCTCCACTGTTTGATCAGTCTTCGAAACGCTAAGTTGATATTAGTGGCACATATATTTTTATTTCGTTTTCTTTCGCCCGCTGTGTAGGGTAACAAATCACATACTCATCTAGTTGACTTCATTTTCTTCTTTCTCTCTCGCTGTAGTAAGTTTAAACTTTTCTCTCAAGTAGACATTACGGTGGAACATAAAGTGTAGAAGCCTCTTTAGTAAAACGTTAGTAAAACCTTGTTAGTAAAACGAGTCTATAGGTGCATATCTTGAATCCATAAATGATCCCTGTGCCACAACCTGAGCTTGCTCATCTTCAAATATTAGTGCAGCTGTTTTGCTGTGCTTGCTCCTACAGCTGTATTAGCAATGTCATGCTCTTTTGTCACCGCTGCACTGAATTTAAAGCGGCGGTGGGCCAACGGGGAGATCGCGTACTTACTGTAACCCTCTTTGCTCCTTGTTACGCAGACGTGCCTTTTCAGAAGCCGCACCTTCTTGACGCCAAGATGGCGTCCTTCTATCGCCACTTGACTGTTACGTTGCCTATTGGCAGTTCGGTGCTGGTGCTTGTAGTGGTGCTAGCCGTGCTGTGGTGCGTTCTACGGCGGCATGCGGAGGACGCAACGGTGGTCCACGGCACACCGCAAGGTCAGTTCACTGAAGGCCATTTAAGTCATCAATAAATTTTCACGTGTAATAATTTTGGCTTTTTTTCACTGGTCAATTCGGAGCAGGCATTTATTGCTTTGCGGAGGGGAAAGCGGTATTCGCTGATCGATTGAGAGTGGGTTCCTGTTTTGCGTTGATCGTTTCAGAGGAAGCTCGATCTGCACTCGATTGCTCTGACTTGTACCGGCCGCCAAAGCCGAGGATTTCGGTGGAGACAGAACGAGCAGCACGCGTCGATTCCGTCATTGTGCGAGCAACCTTAGTCAGCGCTTTGCAGCGGGGTGCCGTAAAAACATGCAGAGCGGAAGCACCAATAGTGCCCAGAACCAGTTTACTTGGCATGTACACAAAAAGCTGTTGGCTTGATCTCACGCAAAGCTTTCCCCCTGATTGATTGGCACATTCGGCCTTGTGCATTCCAGTGCTCACTTCAGGATTGTGGCGCCTGCTCTGGATCTCCCCGTAAAAAACTGCACATTAGCAAAGCGCGTGCTACTGCATACGTAATAGCGACATTATATTTACTCGTGGTTGCTAAATTCAAAGGCAAGTTTTATTAATCCGCTTTAGGTTGCAGTCGTGTGGATGGTTTGAATTGGCGTCATTGTATCTGCTGTCTTATTGAACCATTCACACAATGACGATGAGGTTTCTTGTTTTCCACTGCCTACTATTTCAAGCACATCTGCACGCACCTGTTTTTTTTTTGTGTGTGTTTAAATTATATATATATATATATATATATATATATATATATATATATATATATATATATATATATATATATATATATTATTTAAGTGTTTCAACAAAGTGTAATGCTCAAATCTGCAACTGCAGCCAGATGGAGTTTATGTGCGTGTGAACCCAAACGCATGGATCTTCTTAAAGTACACATAGCCAAATTAAAGCAGCATGCATCACTGAAGTTACGGGATAGCATGGGCTGAATAAGATGAATCGCAGTATGCTAAAGCATTGTGTTTAGTATCGAGAGCTCAACGTTTTCATTAGCAACATCCCAACTTCCGAGCCATTGCTGACACTACGAGCACATAACAATGATAAGACGTCACGCTGCATTCTTAGCCTGTTCTTCGTCCCACTGCAGGGAGCATGTCAGGCGAGCGTTACAAGAGCGAGGTGCTGAGCTCCGTGGAGCCCACTTACTGCGGCGGCAACGGCGGCTCGTCCCGGGGATCGTCCGCGTACGCCGTGCCGCATAGGGTTTACGACGTGCCTTACGCCCACAAGAGGCCAGGTACTCGTCGATGCTCTTCGCAGCATTCCCTTCTCTCACGCGGTCGTCACAGTCTCAGCACCTCCGTACGCTGTGTTTAGTTCAGTGTGCGTCAGCGAATCGCACCATGCTGCGCACTCTTTAATAAGCCATTTATGATTGTCGATATTGCTTCCTTTCATGGTATTGTGTTAATAATCAACATCTCTCATAGTCATCTGTTATGTAAGTACTTGTAAAACTATCTGTATGTACTGTATCCACGGTTATGTGGGTTACAATGTACCCTGTATGTATTGCCCTCGGTCCTTAGACTATTCTCACTCTTTATACGCCGGCCAACGTATATTGACATAGTGATTATGATTGTTTTTCTGTTTCGTTTTGTGTTTGTTTTGTTCTTTACTATTCCTTCAATACAACTGCCATCCTGATGCTATCTCCACTCTAGCATAGCCTACTTTCCATGATTTTTAGGTTTTTAAACACTTTTGCACACAAAAAAAATATTCTCGATGGTCATCTCAGGCAGGGCGAAACATCTGTCCGAGCAGAAGACCCAACATTGCAAAAAATTTGTCTTGTTATGTTTGAGAACATGTACGCGCAATCGCGCGAACACACGAGACATGGTTAATGCGATTCAAGTAGGCATGCAGGAGTTTTAGGGTAACAAAATATGCGCTAACACATGCAAAGGTAAAGGAAGGCTCCGAATAAATAAATAAATAACTTAAAGCAACTGACATTTCGGCCCACGTACGGTAGCCTTTTGCTCAATATTTTTACCTTGAAACGCTTTTGACAGCCTGGTTATTTTGAAAAAATTGTATTTATAGCATTCGTTTTTCATAACCGCGCTCTTCGCTGGATTCAAAAGTGAGGGCTCCGAGTCAAATTACTGTCTCTTCTCGTCCTGTTTTTTTTTAACGACCCAACATTAAAGAACACTTGTCACAGAAAAGCCGTAATTAAGAAATATAATACACGCTCTATTTCATCAGATTTGTCAGAATTGTGTGTAAAATGTGGGGCCACGGCACTGCCGCTGCGGATCGACGCTCACCCATCATGTATCTGCAGGTGCTGCTTTTTGCCGTCGTGGGCCAGCTGTCGTCTGCTTCATCGGATGGCCTACCGACTACAGTCACCGAAGATTCTGGCGTGTGCTCGGGTACACCTTTGAGCAGCTTTTCCGCGCACCACAGCCCGTTTTTTCGGGTTTCGGATGGTTTGCCGCCAAATCTGGACTTTACGGTGTTCGCCATCCGGCAACATGGTGCAACGTCGGCTGACCCACCCCTTCAAAAGCGCGTCGGCTGCATCGACACTTCGGGCCACGGCACTGCCGCTGCGGATCGACGCTCACCCATCATGTATCTGCAGGTGCTGCTTTTTGCCGTCGTGGGCCAGCTGTCGTCTGCTTCATCGGATGGCCTACCGACTACAGTCACCGAAGATTCTGGCGTGTGCTCGGGTACACCTTTGAGCAGCTTTTCCGCGCACCACAGCCCGTTTTTTTCGGGTTTCGGATGGTTTGCCGCCAAATCTGGACTTTACGGTGTTCGCCATCCGGCAACATGGTGCAACGTCGGCTGACCCACCCCTTCAAAAGCGCGTCGGCTGCATCGACACTTCGGGCCACGGCACTGCCGCTGCGGATCGACGCTCACCCATCATGTATCTGCAGGTTAGTTATTACAACTGTTGTTCCTACCGGAACGATGATATTTGCCTTTTGGTGGTGTCGTGGCCTTCTGGGTTTTTGAAATTTGCTCGGAGTGCAGCGCTGTTCCTCAGCCGCCTTTTGTTACTTCACGGTGACGTGGAGGAAAACCCTGGACCAATGAATAAGCCCCAGGAAGAAAAACTGAATTTCGTGTTCGATGCTATTAAGCGCCTAGAAAACAACAACGCTACCTTGCTGGAATCCGTAAATAAGGTTTTATTAATACATGCTGCTATTCAAAACGATGTCGAACAGCTCAAAACTCGGGTGCAGGCTATCGAATCTAAAATGCAAAACAACGATAAAAGCGTAATTCTACCAACCCACGATCATTTTTCTACATTACAAGACAAAATCGACGACCTGGAAAATAGATCTCGGCGTTCCAATGTTCTTTTCTTTGGCGTAGATGATAAAGAACCATCTGAAACGTGGGATGCAACTGAAGGTCTCGTTAGGGACTTTTGCGCGTCAAAGTTAGGCATAACAGTAGATTCCGTTGCCCGAGCTCACAGATTAGGTCGTTTTGTACGGGACAAAAAGAGACCCATTATAGCCAAGTTTTTCAACGATAGGGAAATCGAAGCAATTTTGAACAAAGGACCTAAACTAAAAAACACGCCCTTCAGCATCTCGCGCGATTACTCGGTGCCCGTTCGCGACAAGCGTCGAAAGCTTGCCCAGTTCAAGAGATCTGTAGCCAAGGAGGGTGACCGTTGCCGCCTTGTATTCACTAAGCTGTTCGTGAATGACGACATCTACGTGTGGGACACTGTAAATGAATGCGCTGTCCGATTAAATCCTCGGGAAAACGCACACGCGGCGAAAACCCCCGTAAACGACACGTGCAAATGACGTGGCTCTCCTACAAGAATTGAGTGTTCTTCGCCTCTCGTACCCCGCCCGATAGTCAAACATTTTCCATTCTTGTTTACAAATATCCGTAGTGTTCTTTCTAAAACTGTCCCTCTTTCTTCACTGATAGACTCGTTGTCAGCATCAGTAGTAATATTAACCGAAACATGGCTTAATGACACTGTTAGTGATAACAATATCTTTGTTTGTGCATCTGAATTCAACTTTTTTCGTTACGATCGAAAGCACCGAAGGGGCGGTGGTGTCCTCCTTGCCGTCAAGAATGATCTTGTTGTTACCCCCATCTCAGTATGTTCTTTTCTGGAATGTGCCTTTGTTTCCTTGAAGTGTGCTGGTAGCCATGTTATAATTGCTGTTTTTTACCGTCCCCCCGATATGGGCTGCACGTTTTCGGATGAATTTTCTCGTGTTCTGGGCGATATTCACACCCGTTTTCCGAACGCTGTACTTATCATTTTCGGTGATTTCAATTTTCCTGCCATTAACTGGAGTGCCCTTACTGTTCCACCAAGTGATGTTGAAGCGCACAAATTTTTGCAAAGTTGCCTGGACTTTTCTTTAACTCAACTCATCAATTTTCCTACACGCTGCTCAGCGACAAGTTCTAATACCCTTGACCTAATTTTAACAAATGAGCCCGATGTTTGCTCGAACATTAATATTTTTGATGGTCTTTCCGACCATGCGATTATTACCGGAAACTTGATTCGCCCACTGGTCGAAAGAATAGCAACTAACAAATCAATTAGGTGCTATAACAGAGGTAACTTTGATAGTATAAATAATGAATTGTCTGCCTTTTACGAAGAATTTATACATGGTCACCTCCAGCGCACCATTCAAGAAAACTGGTTGCTGTTAAAAAATAAACTTACTGGTCTCATCAATAAATTCATACCTGTCATCACGGTGAAAACCCGAAGCACGGTTCCTTGGTTTACTCAGCAGCTCCGACGGTTGAACAACAAAAAAAAACGTTTATTTAAACAGGCCGTCCAAAAGGATACCTTTAACTATTGGACGAAATACAAAAAATGCGATAAAGAATATCAGTCGCTTTTGAAATCTACTCGCCGCCATTTCTTTAACCATGATTTATCATCTATACTTGCAAATAATCCACGCAGATTCTGGCGCGTTGTTAACCCCAAATGTTATCCTGATATAGTCCTAAGCAATAACGATGGCGTTTCAGTTCCCACATCTCAATGCGCAGATGTCTTAAACCAGGCGTTTTCCTCAGTTTTTACCAGAGAAGACGTTTCAACCGCTCCCATATTGCATAGTTTCAGCAGCACAGTCATGCCGGAGATTGTTATCAGTGAGGCCGGTGTTCTGTCCCTTTTACAGAAACTAAAAATTTCTTCCACCTTGGATAATATAGGCTTAAATAATAAAATCCTGAAATCTATATCATTCAGTATCACCCCCTTCTTATGCGCTCTGTTTTCACAGTCTTTGTCTACCGGAACTCTACCCCAAGATTGGCTATCAGCTAAAGTCGTCCCCCTCTTCAAATCAGGTGAACGTTCCTCACCGCTAAATTACAGGCCCATTTCCTTAACTAGTACCATTTGCAAACTCATGGAGCATATCATACACACTCAAGTAATAAACTATCTCGAACGTCACAATATAATTTTCAATTTTCAGCACGGTTTTCGCAAGGGATTTTCATGCGACACCCAACTTGCCGGTTTTGTTCACGACCTTCATAAATCCATCGATGCTGGTTGCCAGGTCGACGCCATTTTCTTAGATTTCGCTAAAGCTTTTGACCGCGTTCCTCACCACAGATTACTACTAAAGCTAGAACAACTTAACATTCACCCTATAGTTCTTGCATGGATAAAAGCTTTTCTTTCCTCCAGGTCTCAATTCACCTTTGCTATGAATTGTTATTCTTCCTCTTTACCGGTAACATCTGGTGTACCTCAAGGCAGTGTTCTTGGTCCTCTACTCTTCCTCGTTTACATTAATGATCTACCCAATTCTTTATCTTCACACGTTCGACTTTTCGCGGACGACTGCGTAATATACCGTAACATTTCTTCTGATTCGGACCGCTTAGCTTTGCAATCTGACCTTAACAAAATTAATCATTGGTGTTCAACTTGGCTTATGTCGTTAAATGTTTCTAAAACAAAGTGCATGTCCTTTACTAACGCTGCTACACGTTTTCCTAGTCAATACTCGTTGAATAATATGACACTTGAGTTAACATCTACCTACAAGTACCTTGGTCTCCACTTTCAATCGAATCTATCTTGGCACCATCATATAGAAGTCACTCTTGCAGCTGCTAACCGGTCTCTCGGGTTACTGAAACGAAATCTTAAACAGGCTCCATCGCAGTTAAAAAAACTTGCTTTTACCACTTTAATTCGCCCTAAAATAGAATATGCCAGTGCCATTTGGGATCCTCATCAAGCCTACATCGTATTAAATATTGAATCTTTGCAAAACCGAGCTGCTCGTTTCATTTACTCCGATTATTCTACCTATTCCAGCGTAAATAACTTAAAAAACCGTGCTGAGCTAGAGGATTTGGCCACTCGTCGGAAATATGCACGCCTATCACTTTTTCACAAACTTTACAATCACCCATCATTACATGACAGTTTCTTTGAACCCGCCTGTTCCATCTTTCCCCGCCGTGATCATCCTAACAAAGTCAAACGCCCGCTATCTCGCACCCTTCGGTTCGCTCAGTCATTCATCCCGCGCACTATTATTGAGTGGAACAGTTTGCCTGCACATATTGCCACCGAGAAAGACTCGGTAAAGTTTTCAGAGCTCATGCGCACTACGGTGACTAACTAAATATTTTTTGCTTTTGTTGTTTTGTTTTCTTTCGTTTTTTAACTATTGTATAACGCCATGCAATTGCTGCCCGTATTCATGGTTTGTGCTTTGTTGCGGTTGTCAGGTTGCACTGTATCTCGCTGTACTGCTTTTTTTTCTGTTTTGTTGTATTGGCCCCATGTATTGTATTCCCCATGTATTTCTGTATGTTGTATTGGCAAACCATGTTGTATTGCCCCCCCCCCCCCCCTATGTAATACCCTCTTCTAGAGGGCCTTTAGGGGTAACCTGAATAAATAAATAAATAAATAAATCATAGGACATTATCCCTCCTTCTTTTTCTTCGTCTTTCATAAGCACACAGGCTCTTTCTTCTACCCTGATCACACAGTTCATAACTTCTTCAGTGATGAACTGAAGAAGTGACTTCACTGCACTCTGCACCTTCGCAGAGCGCAGTGACACTTATTGTTTTGTCTTTGCCACGCGTTACTATTCTCATTTATATTTAGGCGAGTATAGTGCGACGTGCAGGATAATATATTTAGTAACTCCAATATCTTTTTCGTGCACTCGCTTACCTTCTAAATACGTTTTATTTTTCTGATTCCGTTTTTTGGATCCCCCCCTTCCAATATTTTCTTTTTCATCTTTTCAGGTGAACATATAGCCATACAATCAAGAAAGTCTCAAACTGCCACAGTCGTGTAAGTGACTGCTCACACTTTATGTACTACGTTGTATTGTGCTTGAGTAAGACCTTTCAGTTCTTTCACTTGGAGCGATACACACAAGAATAGACGCTAATGAAATATAACGTTAGCCAGTACCTGCTTACGCTAGCCATCATTTAGCCAGTGCATGTTGCTTGCGTGCTCCGCCGCGGTCGTCTAGTGGCTAAGGTACTCGGCTGCTGACCCGTAGGTCGCGGGATCGAGTCCCGGCTGCGGCAGCTGCATTTACGATGGAGGCGGAAATGTTGTAGGGCCGTGTGATCAGATTTGGGTGCATGTTAAAGAACACCAAGTGGTCGAAATTTCCAAAGTCCTCAACTACGGCATCTCTCATAATCATATGGTGGTTTTGAAACGTTAAACCTTCCATATCAATCAATCAATGTTGCTAGCGTCTATGGTTAAATTGACTCGGGAATAGCTATTACTGGCATTATACTTCATAACAAAAAGCGTACGGAAAATGCCCAGAACAATGTTGTCTTCAGATATAACTGTTTAAAGCCTGCCGTCTGAAGCTTACCGCATGTATTCGCTCATCATGAGTAATGGTTAATTTTGGGTAACCACTGGACGATGTTGGCCAGGGCAGCCTATAGTGTTGGTTAGCGTTAGAAATCGAGGTCGTTGCCAGTGATTATATGAATATAAGTTATTCTAGGGCATTTCTCTCGCAGTCACGTTTAGATCGACGCTGCTATCTCTTTTATTCGTGTATTTATTTTATGGCTGTCTTCCTTCCATTTCAGAAGCCGAGATGGGTCGGAGCTTTTCTACGTTTCCAGCAAATGCAAAGTATTTGATGAGGACGACATGCACAGGTTATGACGCGTGGTGAGTCTCAATTACGTGTGTCCACCGATATTGCCGTGCAGCAAACGTTGACGCATAATGGAGTTGGTACGAAAATTGTTTACAGGTTCGATCTTCTCTGCGACTGTCGAGGATGGGCGAGTAAGCGACGCTGCTTAAGGATAATCAAGAAAGGTGTTGTGTATACAGTAAGCACTGAAATTATGCCCATTTCTTGTCACGCACCATGGTGTCATTTGAAAGATTGGTTCATGCAAATGTATTAAATTGCGGGAGAATCCACGGGAAGGTAACTATTACTTCTAGCCGCTTGCAGTCATTGCACTGCATAAAACAAAGCTATATGCGGCAGAGATTACGCATAACACTAACATAGCTGTGTAAATTGGCAGATGTGTTAATAAACGTAAAGGCCTGTTTGTCTCTGGACGTCTTCGTATATGGTTAGCGAATAACAATAAAGATTCATAAATTCAGGCACGAGATAACGTAAAAAAATGCTCCTCTTTAAAGCGGGACTATGTGATGCAATAGAATACACGACACGGCAGTGTATTTTGTCTTTAGCTCAGGTCGCACAACCATCGAAGCAAAATTATCTTAATGACTTCAGTGGTTAGTAGGGAGAGGAGCAGTACACTGTCACGATCTTATCTCGCGATTTCGTCACTGTAATACGAGGCTTTTTTTTCTTTTTTTTTCAGCCAAGTCTGCGCCATGAACATGATGCACGTGATGACCACCTCCAATCCTGCATCATCTAGCGTTTCTACAAAGTTCAGACGCGCCAAGGCTGACGACAAGCTGTACCCTATTTTCACGAGACTTCCACTGCGGCGAACCTAAGCTCACGAGCTGTGTCGCGAACGACCTCTTGGGACAAGGCCAAAAACAAGACAAACGCTGTATAGGCCAGGCCAAGTGCACGACTGCAAAATAACAATGTTCACGTTGTGTAGCGTCTCCGGCTGTAAGGCACACGGCGACGCTAGCCGCCAGCACTATAAGTCGTACTCATTGTTCCCAGCAAGCGTTTCTGTATTGATCATGATCGACTGCTGCGCTGGTGGCACGAGTTGCGTGTAGTGCGCCTGTTGAAGGTTAACAAAGCGAGATAATCATTATCCTATAAGTTTAGCATCAGCGCTGAGCTTTGAAAACGTGGAGCACGGCTGAACTTGTAACAGGTATACTTTAAGAAGAAAAGCAGTTTTTCACTGCCGGACACAGATTATTCATCCCGTGATACTTTAGAACTTATGGTTTCTATTCACACTCTTTATTTACAAACACCGCCGCTGTCCAGAAGAAAATGGAATGGGTATGTCATACTCTGCTTAAGGACCATCTCGCATGATTATTTCGGTCAACATTTTCTCTTAAGCGGAACACTCCTGGGCTCGCGTTCGCGTGTTTCAAAGCAGCGCTGACATTCTGACGCAGCATAGTTGTTTCTTCGAATCTCGCCCACAAAACGACCGCACGCACTTTGTGACGAGTGACTCACGTGGTCGCCATCGCCCACATTCATTCGCTCATAAGCTGCAGCCATCCAAGGCAACAAAACAATCACGCACGATGCATCGTAACACACGAAGGGACCCAGCTTTGACGCAGGTCATTGTTTTTAGGCTAATTCACATTTATTCATTCACTTTGAAATTTCGTAACCCTTGTTGCGGAGTGTCGGTCATTTATATTCGCAACTGTCTCCAGTTTGAAAGAGAGCTCACAGCAAACGGTGGTAGCAGCTGCCTTGAATGACGACAGATTGTATGTGTACATAAACTGAAAATCAAAAAACTCTGTTTAATAAATTATTTTACAAGAACGTTGCTGTCGTTACTGAACTTTCAGGGAGGAAAAGGCACCGCAATGAACACAATGGCTGTCGAGAAAATAAAACAATTAGTGAGTGTGCGGGGCACAACGCTCTCGTGAGCATCTGCCTCCCGTTTTTTTTTTATTGTCCCGCAGTCTTCAAAACAATTTCTTCAATGTACTTTATTGTTATGGTCGTTAGTTACAGAGAACCCGCTGTAGCGTACTCGTAGTGAGACGCAGACAAAGCGTGTAGGCGGGCATATGGCGCTCATTTGCGTTGCAAAAATGTCAGGCAGCCCATTAGCATAGCATGAGGTTTCTGTAGTACAAAAGAGTACCACGTAAGCTTTGCCTAAGCAAGGGCTGAGCTTTTACCTGACCCACATTTAGGTTTTCGAGATATTTTCAGCAGCACATAGACCGCGAACGCGTATGATCAAAGATGTGAACAAAAGAGCTACAAACGAAAAAAAAAGAAATTCATTTAGCAAAGCTATGAGAACGTGAACTTGTCTGTCTCTGAACATGTTTTGTTTTGTTCCTTTTGTTCGTTGCAATGCTATCTTCGTCAGCTTATAAGGCACGTGTATGCAGTCAGTTCAAGCAACAGAGCCAGTAACACTGAAGAAAAAAAAGTGTACTCGCTGGTATACAGAGGGAAATTGTCCTTTACACCGGACGCAAAAACTAATTCACGTCCCTACTAAAACTGCGTACGAATCGTTGGATTAGACAGAATAAAAAGCCGATGCTCATTAGCTGCTCAAGGAAGCATCATCTAAGGGATATAGGTATATATACATGCATACATGCAGGGTGTCCCACATAACTTGAGCCAAGATTTTGAAGGTGAAAGGCGCTTAGGAGGCAAATTGAACCAAACGCATACTACTCGCACTAGCCTGTAGGTACTCAGGCTATTTTACTATTTCTCCCCATAATCGTTAATTATTAATTCTTAATTACCATATTTTTTAATTATGGGCTGAAAACCTCAACTATGAACACTGAGATGTAGAGCACTTTCAGAAACCACCGACTAAATTGTTTCCTGTACGATACGTCTCGCGCTGTTATTCTTTCCACGTTATAAAGAAAGCCCGCGAATTCGTGAAAAGAAGCCACGGGTGACGGACTGCGAGCGCACTGCTATAGTGCTGCTATAGGCTTTCTTCACAACGCGGAAAAAATAACAGCGCTAGACGTATCGTACAGAAAACAATTTATTCGGTGGTTTCTGAAAGTGCTCTACATCTCAATGTTCATACTTTGGGTTTCCGGAACACAATATTAAAATATAGGTAATTATAATTATTAATTATTAGTATAGGGACAAATAAAATTTGCCTGAGTACCTACTGGTTAGTGCAAACAAGTGTGCGTTTGGTTCAAATTCACCGCTGAAGTGTCTTTCATTTTCAAACTCTTTGCTCAAGTTATGTGGGACACCCTGTTTATTATGTGTGTTACGATAAGCGCCTTGGCCCCGTACCAACTTCGTATTGATAAGAACGAAATAGGAAGAGAAAACTAGACGTGTCTCTATGCCGAACTTTCTTACCCGCCAAGGTGGCCTAGTGGTGTTATGTTACTCGAGTGCTGAGCTGAAGGTCGCGAGATCGAATGCCGGCAGCGACGGCTACATTTTTGGTGGAGGGGAAAACGCATACGGCCCGTGTATTCAGATTAAGGTGCACGGTAAATAACACCAGCTGGCCGAAATTTCCGGAGCCCTCCACTATACATCGTCCCTCATAATCACATCGTGGTGTTGGGACATTAAGCCCCAACAATTATTATGATCTATGTGAAATGTTTCTGCCGAGTTGTACTATAGCAGCGCCGCGAGTGCGTATATTTGCGTGTACCCTTTCAACAGATACTATACCGCGAGAAAACTTGGACCCACGTAGATCTTCCAGACTCTTTTACAACAGAGTCATAAGAAAATTTGAGCACTGGGGCCCCAAGGAGCTTGGAGACCCAAGAAGCTTGCGACGCGTCAGGGCGCATGCGCAGAACCGAAGCCCATCTTGGGCTCTTGCGTTCGTGGTGCCTCAAGGACCAAAAGTTGTGGGCTTCAAGGCGTCCTTCAGGCACCAGCGAGACGAAGCAGACGCAGCGGTGCCGTATGGCCTGCGTCTCGCACAATTTTCCATTTGGCCGCGGGTGGCGCTCCGTGCTTTATTCAGAAAGGCGAATTGAAATAGCCACTAAACAAATTGAGAAAGTAATCGCTGAGGATACTAAAACAGTGTGGACATACACGAATCTAATTAGACTGTTTGAGCAAGAGCTTGCTAAGGCACGTGACAAGTCACCCCTGAAAAGAAGACACAAACCCAAAAGATGGTGGGATGAGGAAGTTAAGAGAGCCATAGCAAAACGTCAGGAAGCCTCTAGGGAACACCGACATGCTAAGCAGCGGGGTGAACCGACAGATGATGTTGAGAGAAAACGGAAAATCTTTCTAAGCTGTAGAAGGGTTGCATCCCTTCTGATCAATGAAAAGATTAGAAGGAAGGGAGCTCAGTGGCTGGCAGAAGTACATAAAAAAGATAGAAAGGCAGCTGCGAAATTTGGAACCATCTAAACTCCCTAAGAAATGAGACGAGCCTAGAGCAGAGGCTTATAACTACAGCTCAAGGTGCTAGGCTAGAAGGGGACGAAGCCATTGAATATACAAGAACAAGGGTGACAGAAAAGTTTCAACCAAGAAGTGCTTTGTGCACCACAATAGACAAGGATGAATTAGGTGGCGCAATGGCTCAATTTTCACAACAAGAGTGGGAAAGGGCTGAGAAAAGAGTTCCTAGTAGAACATCAACAGGCCCAGATGGGATTCCAATTATGCTGATAAAGACATTAGGTCAGAAGTCTAAGCAGGCTTTGAGAGAGGCAGTGAGCAAAATAATAATCGATGGAGAAGTTCCCGATGAATGGAAACTTAGCAGGATGAGCATAATCTATAAAGGAAAGGATACAAAGCTGACATAAACAACTACCGTCCTATAATAGTGACATCAGTGGTCTACAGGCTGGCGATGCAGATTATAAAGGAAACAGTGCAGGCATGGATAGAGAATGAGGGGGTGCTGAAGGAACTGCACAATGGGTTTCGGAAATACAGGAGGTTGGAAGATAATCTGTTCTCACTGACGCAGTGCATCGAAACAGCAGAAAAGGAACACAGGCCCCTGTGGTTAGCATTTTTGGATATCAAGGGAGCGTACGATAACGTGGTTCAGGAGGAATTGTGGGGAATACTGGACATACTAGGCGTGGAACATGTAGTCACTAATCTTTTAAAGCATATCTATAAGGGCAACAAGGTAGTTATAAAGTGGGAAAAACAGGTATCCAAGCCTGCAGAGGTAAAACGGGGCTTAGGTAGGGGTGTCCCCTGTCACCCTTATTATTCATGATGTACCTACAAGGATTAGAGGCCAAATTAGAGGGAAGTGGACTGGGCTTCAACCTCTCTTTCGTCAAACAAGGAAAACTCATTCAACAGGCACTACCAGCATTGATGTACGCAGATGATATAGTGCTAATGGCCGATAACAACGAAGATTTGCAGAGATTGGTTGACATCTGCGGTAATGAGGGAGATAGATTAGATTTCACATTCAGTTAGGAAAAATCAGCAGTCATGATTTTTAATGACAATGAAGGTAGTGAGCTTAGAATACAGGATGTCACACTAGAGATAAAAGATAAATACAAATATCTGGGCGTATGGATAAGCAATGGGGCTGAGTACCTAAGGGAACACGAAATATACGTGACGACTAAAGGTAACAGAAATGCAGCGGTAATGAAAAACAGGGCACTGTGGAATTACAATAGGTATGATGCTGTCAGAGGAATATGTAAAGGGGCCATGGTTCCTGGTCTGACGTTCGGCAATGCGGTCTTGTGCATGAGATCAGAAGTTCAAGCAAGATTAGAAATTAAGCAACGCGGAATAGGTAGGCTTGCCCTAGGAGCTCACTAAAATACGCCAAATCAGAGAGTACAAGGTGATATGGGATGGACATCATTTGAGGGCAGGGAAGCTAGTGCAAGATAACATTTGAGAAGCGATTGGGAGAAATGGGGGAGGATCGTTGGGCTAGGAAGGTATTCAGCTACTCGTACATGAAGAATGTCGATACAAAATGGTGGAAGCGAACAGAAAATTGACTGGTAAATACTTGAAAACAGCAGGGGGTCAAACCAAAGAGAACTATCGGTTAAGAAAAAGGTGAAGGAAGCTGAGACCGATATGTGGAGAATCGGCATGATTAGGAAGTCCGCACTAGAGATCTATCGAACTTTTAAGCAGGAAATATCCAAGGAAAGAATTTATGATAATATTCGGGGTAGTTCTCTACTGTTTGAGGCCAGGACGAAAGTATTGCGAATAAAGACATATCGGGCCAAATACGAAGGGGTAGATACGGTATGCAGTGCGCGTGGAGAGGAAGAAGAAACTGCCGAACACTTGATAATGTTCTTTGAAGGTCTTCACCCTATAGTTCAGGATGATGGCGCAAAGTTTTTCAAAGCACTGAGGTTTAGGAAAAGGGAGGGCAAAATAGACTTTAAGTGGGTAGAATTAACTAGAAGGAGGTTATCTGATTGGTGACTAAAGTGAAGACACGACTAAAAACTAAACCCTTCACTGCAAAGTACGAATCCTCAACCTCTCACTATTTAAAAAAAATAAATCTAGTTTTTGGTTCATTAAGTATTACGGCTTGGTGGCGCTAGCCACCGCCCGATCTAAAGGATACAGCCACATACATCCATCCATCTATCCATGTAACGCAGCCTGCGTTTAACCAACGCCTCCTCTATCAGATACCAACCACGTGAGAACAAAAACAGCTGCCACACCCTTTCTCTCCTTTACTTTCAATTATTCTCGGTCTTTGGCGTCACCTGTGGCGGACAGTGCAACAACTCGACATTTTGTATAGCCTCCGAAATAGTCGTGTATAGTTGCAGATCTCGAATGACCCT